CGCTGAGAAAGCCCTCCTCCGAGTAGCCACCCTCCTAATTTCTCTCACGGAGGGCTCCCGGAGAAGGGCCTCTCCTGCCGATCTCAGGGGGCGACTGGGCATATATGGATGCAAGCGCTCCTTCAGGTAACCAGGACCCAAGCCGTTTAGGGCTTTATAGGTCATTACCAACACCTTGAATTGGGCCCGGACTTCAATTTACTTCCATTCAATTCAATGGAACAGGTCAAATGATGCCTTTGGAAATCAGTTTGCCAAGGTGACTATTCTTGCATCTTCATTTGTTGCAGGAGAAAATTTTGACCAGAGCCCCATAAGAAGAACATTCAAGTCAAAAGTCTTGGCTCACTATCCCCAGAACATAGAGTGGAGCCCCTTCGATCAAGATGCCGTCAATATGGTACGTAAAGATGATGCCTCTTCAGCCTTCTGCCTCTCCTCCAACATAAAGTGTGGACGTAGAAGAAAGTGGGGAAAAGTAGAAATTTGGAATTCTGTGTAGAGGTTGTTTGTGGTCATTCATTAGCCTCCTTCTGCTAGCATGGCCAATGAGAGTGATGGGTGTTATAGCTGAAAACATATGGAAGATAATCAGGCTGGGGTAGGTTGTTGTATATTAACTTGCAGACTAATCCTAACAATACTTTATTTGGGAGTATAACCCAATAAGCTTACTTTGCAAGCAAGCTTGCATAGGAGTGTTCCATATATTTTAAGCAGAAGAGGTTTGGATTTTTTTTTTTTTTTTGCCATCCATTGCTTTCAGGAAAAAGTAAAATAACTTTTAATGATTGTTGCTGATATTCTGAGTTTTCTTCTTGATCTAAAAACTTCAAAAAGTGTTCCTCTGAAAGAAACACCGTTGTCAGTTCACTTCCTGGCCTAATATAGCTCTCCTTGCTTGCCTATCTTGACCACTCTCTCCTCAAGCCTTCATGTCCTAGTCTCTCCCCTTTATTCATCTGATGTTCCTCAAAACACTTACCACCTTCTTTCCTAGGTGCTTATATTACTGCTTCTTCCCAAGGCACTGTTTCTTGACCTGACTCTTGGAACAGCTCCGTCAGTAGCAAGCAAAATTACTTCTGCAAACTTCTTTTCCATGAGATGAGAACATCTTGGCCCATCCCTGTCAGAAGGTTCATCACTTAAAAGCAAACAAAGCTTAGTTCATTGCAATATAGTTCAACATGGTAGTTAAAATACTCAGTGATGTACTTTGCAGGTTCCCTGTATGTCAGCTAGACATGCCTGCATAGCCCTTTCTTTTCCTCCTGTTCCCCAAATCTTGTTCATTGCAAAATGGTATCTTTTTAAGGACTAGCAAACCAGGATGGGAATTAAAGCCTCACTTAAGGGAATATTTTCCTCCTACCAGTAACCAGAGGTAGGGGCTGGCCTTTGCTGCTCTTTTTCTTTCTGTATAGTTTTGTCATCGCCTTGGATTTTGGTCTGCTATTTATATAAAAAGCAATAGACAATCTTCCTTGCAAGGAAATGCACACAGCTTTTGGGAGGTTAACCACAGGCAGGTTCTGTTGTGGCTCGAGGCTAAATGACGTGCAAATGGCTTCTGAAAGAGCCAGTTCTCAGAAGAAGGAAGGTGCTGCTGCTCCCAGTTCTTCTTATTGAGCCACACCGGATTACATCCAGCTAAGAGCCACTTTCCACCCTGCTGTCTGGCCATGGAGGATGTCCCAGCAACTCACTGGCATCCCTGTGGAGAGATGCAGGTGTTGCATGCAGCTTCTGTTAATCATTTGTACTGGCAGGTATTTTCCCCCTAGGAAATAAGAGTGAACAAGTCGCTTTTATATTACACTGAAGATCTGGCAGAGCATTCGCATAGATTTTAATTAAGACCTTTGAGGACGGGCAGTGCTATGAGAAACTAAGGTCAGCAAATCTTGCTCTTAGAAGTGTTGTAATTCTCTGTGCTCTCCAATCCACTCCCTAAGCCAGTATATTTTTGACTGGAGAAGAAGCTGTTGAATCATCAAATGTATGTTATTCCTGCCTTGCAACAGCTCATGTATAAGATGCACAACTTTCCATGTATTCCTTTTTCCTTGCCCTCCTGGAATGGGGGAGGGGGGTGATGGGGATCAGATTCTCAGGTTTGTCACATGTTGGGGTGCAGCCCTGCACTGGATGCTTGGAAGAAACATTTTTGTCGTACAAGTGGAACCTGCAATGAAATATTGTAACATGAAGTGCTCCGGCCACTCCCTTTTCCATCCCACAACAGCCACTGTGCCATGCCCACTGAGTTTTGGGCATTGCTATTTTGGCATATTTTGGGCCTTAGGTTTTTCCTCCCAGATATTCTATGTACTTCTGGAAACTCAGGTGTTCCTCCAAGCTTACCAATATTTCCTGCTTGTGTTGACTGGAATACAAAAGGACCAGTACCCAGAAAATTGAGCTTCCTGGTGTTATATACAGGTACAGAGGCAAGGAAGCTGGGCAGCAAATTTGGCCCTCTGTGCCTCTTAATCCAGAGCCCCAGAGTTCCCCAGAAGGCCATGCTCCTTTCCCCACAAACACTAGTCTCTTTGGTGGTTTCCCAGCTTTTCTGCAGTGTCTCCCCCTGCTCCCAGTCTAACAAACTGGGAAGTTGCTTCTTATGCTCAGTTACTGGTAGTAACAGCTTTGAGCTAAAATATGGTGCCATATTTTGCATTTTGTCCCACCCTGTTTGGCTGTGCCAGAATGTGGCTCCCAAGAGTTTCAGCAAAATGAAATTTTGGCCCTCAGGCTCTCTCTGTTCATGGGTCTAGGAATACTAGAAACCCACTTCTCCAAGTGTAAGGGGCTTTTCCACACTTGCAGATGATCTAAGGCCTATTTTAGAAAATTGAACCAAAGAAATACAGTGACATACTCTATTTTGCTTATTTTCAACCCAAGAGACAATGTATGAGTTACCTTGAAACTGAGATTATATAGCCATCTTGAACTTTAGGGAAAGCAAGTTAAAAATAAAATAAGCTATCTACAGAAACCCCCTCTTAAGGAGTCCATCATTTCTCCTGTTGCTTGATGAGTATATTGCAAATGGCAGATCCGAATTTGAGCTCATTCTTCCCTCTTTTTTTAATGAATAGCTGGAAATAATCACACAGAACAGAAATGTAAATATAGATTAATGGATATACAGTGCTGATTGCTGAAAATACCTATACTTTCATTACCAAATTTAATAAGTTATTTCTAAGTTGTATATAATTGATACTGGGAATATTTTGGTAACGTTCTATTTTTATTGACTGTAGTTGGCCTGAACCATTCAGCTTTAGGATGCTGAACTATAGCTCTCTCCTGTTAAGTTGTAACTCCTGTTAAAAATTGTGTAATGCCCATTTCTTGCTAAGAAAACAGCTTTGTTTTATTTTGTTGTTAGCTTCTCTATTGAGATATTCACATCTAATGCATGAGGCTGAAAATGAATTTATGAACAGTGGCAAAAAGCCATTGCAACATAATTGTGCAAAATCATTCTGTTGGCTTGATAAAAATCCAAATTAAGGCAATGTTCTTTTCAGACTGAAGCCTGGAATCTCATTTTTAAGAGTGCAGATTTTAATTAAATGGTTTAATAAGATGGCTTCTCCTGCTTCTTTCCTTGTTTCTTATTAATAATCATGATAAACACAGTCAGCCCAGAGGCTTCTTCTTTGAACCAAATAGGAAACGCTCAAGTTATGTATTCCTAAGACATTTTTTGGAGTGTACACAAGATATGTCCTGATGGACTATGCTAGCGAATTGGTGATCTACTGATGTGTGTCCCTGTGTTTCCCCCTTCTTCTCCCCACAGTTATGTATGCCCAAAGGGCTCTCTTTCAGGACTCAGACTGATAACAGAGACCCTCAGTTCCACTCCTTCATTATTACCCGGGAAGATGGTTCCCGCACGTACGGGTTTGTCCTCACCTTTTATGAGGAGGTCACAAGCAAGCAGATTTGCACGGCCATGCAAACGCTTTATCAAATGCACAACGCAGAGCAATGCAGCAGCGTCTGCGCCTCGTCATCATGCAGCATGGACTCCCTGGCCAGCAGCCTCGACGAAGGGGACTCCACATCGCTGGCTAAGATGCAGCGCTGCAACTCGTACGACATCAGCCGGGACACGCTCTACGTCTCGAAGTGCATTTGCCTCATCGCTCCCCTGCCCTTCATGCAAGCCTGCAAGAAATTCCTCATCCAGCTTTACAAGGCTGTCACTTCTCAGCAACCCCCACCTTTACCCCTGGAGAGCTACATCCATAATGTTCTTTATGAAGTGCCCCTTCCACCACCAGGGAGGTCACTGAAATTCTACGGGGTGTACGAGCCCATAGTTTGCCAGAGGCCGGGTCCCAGTGAACTTCCTCTCTCTGACTATGCGCTCCGGGAGGCCTTCGAACTGCTGGGCTTGGAAAACCTCATCCAGGTTTTTACATGTGTCCTCCTAGAAATGCAGATCCTTCTTTATTCACAAGGTATGTAGACCTCTTCCAATCTGATCAGGCTGTTGACTCTTCCCTGTCCTAACAAAATATTTTGTACTTCCCCAAATAATAATGCTTAGATGGCTTGGTTACAGGCCCATAAACACAGAAGTCTTAGGCTGGCTGTTGAGGTCTGTATAGGATTTTGAAAAATGCATCTCCTGTTTTACTTACCATTATTTATTTAGTGATAGCTAGTGATCAAAGTGGCTCCCTTCATGTGTAACCTGGTTTTTCCATAACATAATTGAAAACCTAGTAATACTACTTATCTCCAAAATAGTACGATATTGAGAAGAGAGGGAGATGGTGAAGGTAAGTACAGAAGCGCAAAGCAGAGAGAAGTTAGTCTGTTTTTCATGTGTAAACTGTTATGCAGACCATTTGGGCCAACAACTGGTTGATAAGTACAAGTAACAGTGTATGAACACACTGTATATGCAAACTGTAATGAAACTATTCTCAAGAGTATTCTTCCTTGTTTTTAATAATATTTTAATCCCGATACAGCTTGCAAACACAAGATCTTTTTCAAAGGCCTGTTCTGAAATCAAGAGGAGTCCTTTTGGAACTAACCCTCTTTATTGTAACAAGCTGGAGGATCTTTATTTTGATGCAAATTTAGTTTAAAGCACAACTGAAAGACAGGCCATTTGGACTGAAGGTAGCATCTGCCTTCCTGGAAAATAGTAACCTTCAGGAATACAATAAAATCCCAGAAAAAGCTTTATTTATATTTTAGGTAATAATCCTCATGGCATTACCCACCAATATTTTTCTAGCACTTTTTAAATAGCTTCCTAGAATCTTCTGCTTTTTTGAAAGCAGTCCTCTCAGCAGCTAAACTGGCTTCTATATGTGAAATTTTGTGATGCCCCTGGAAGATTTAAGCTATTTTAAATACCCCATTTTCATTATATCTCCGAAGAGTGTAATGAATTTGAAGGAATGGCAGGAAGTAGTGTTCCTACAGTTGCAAAATAATCCTATTCTGAGCTGTTAATGCAACTCGCTGAGGATCAGGATAATGCCACTGGCACAAAATTGGTACTGGAGAGGGAGTGAATTAAATTGTTGGCTCTGCAGAAAGTAGGAAATCAGTTTTGGATGTGGGCTTGCGAGCAATTGAAACAAGAATCTGGATCTTCCTAGCAGGCTGTTGAAATCGTTTTCAGTTCGTGAGCATTTTTACATGGACTCCCATTTCTTTATTTAAAAGATGTATGCAGTACCCTTCATCAGATCTTTCAAGGCAAAAAAGGCAATTCTTTTAAAAAGTTGAAACATAAATGCCATCAACTTGTTTAAAAGAAGGAAAAACCTTAAAATATCTGTTTGATGATGAAATAAATACAGAATTGATGCAGGATGAATTAAATCTCTCCAAAATTTTTACCACCCCAGAAGCCGAGGCATGCTTTCATTAACTTTGGTCCTTAGACAACAGACATAGATCATGAGGAGTGGGAGCCTGGATTTCCACTGGAAAAAAAGAAAGTGAGCAGTTCCTGGTGTCCCCAGATTCTTGCATCTTTTTTAAAAAGCAGGGATGCTGTGGAACCAAAGCACTGGATTGCCTTCTGTGCCTGCGCTTCTGGTCAATTGGGAATGTGCTGGGGAATGCCTTACTCCACATGTGCTGCTAATTGATGGTTCCCTACAACACCAATAGCATCTCATTTTCCTGTCCATGCCTGTGGGTGTCATTTCTGTAGTCAGCTGCTGGGGTTTGTTCCCTCCTGTAATATAACATGTTCGAAAGCTTAGGAAAGGAGCTGGTGTGCAAGTCCACTTTGGACCTGGAGTACAAATCCACTGCTTCTAATTGTGATCCACAACGGATGTTTCTAGAAAAGCCAGCTATTGCCACAAGACTGAAATTAGATCTGTGTGTATAAGAGAGAACGAATTACCATCCTGTCCAGTGGCAGTGGAGAAAATTAAGACTCTGGTTTCATTATTAATGCTCATGCGTCTCAAAAGGCTGAGATAATCAAATTGCTTTTTCACTATCCCCTTGCTAAAAACATGTTCTTTCCTCCATCTTTTACCCTGCTTGGGAAAGCTTTGTTTGTGTCTATAGCAAGACACAGCTGGCCTGTTAGTGCCCCCACTTCTTGCCATGCAGGTTTCTTAATTCCTGCATTAATGCTGATCAGACCATTTTTCCTGTGCTAAAAAAGTGCTGGTAACATGCTCAGATGCAGATAAGGCATAAAAATGGTACTTGAGAGGCAGCGGTTTTTAGTTTTCTCATTAACACTTTTCCAGCAGAGAGGTAATGGGAAACACAGCTAGTGGCATTCAGTATAAAAATATGTGATGGATTTCAAATAGATTTGACCTGTATTTTCCAAGCTGATACTTTAGGGGCAATTCTAAGATAGCTTCCTTTTAAAATCAAATGCTGAAAACATCTTTATAGTTTTGTATGCTTTGGGACTGCAATGGTTGAGAGATTGACTCTTCTATGAAATAATTTTGCTGCGTATTCTAATTATTTATTTGAACCAGAGGCAAATGCCTGATTTGTTGCAGGGGAAGTCACAGGACTTGTCCGTGTTAGTCAAGCTTAAGTGCTGTGTGTATAGATGTGTTCTGACTTAACTAACAAAAGATGACTTTTTGGCATCTACAAATATTAATAACTGTTAAGGCTAATAAACTTCCTGCTGTTTGCAAGTATCTCCAAATTACCACTTTCAGTCCAATAGAATATGTGATTGTATGTGTGTCTTATGTTTAAAGTCCACACGTTTAAAAGCATGGAACTTTGTCCTCTTCTGGAATTGTTTGCATTCATTGTATTAAATAAATAAATCGGTGACCAAATTCAACTGCCTTTGTTGGAATAGGAATGGACAGCACTGGAAGAAATACTTAAATTGGTTATTGTGTAAGCATGATATTTGGGTTAGAAGCAAACAGAAGATACCCTATCAGCATTTTATTCTTGTATCTGCGAACTTGAGTGGAGGACTGGCATGGAAACTTGTTAAAAATAGGTCCAGGGCATACTTTACATTGATGTAGCTAATTCTCATTCTGTTTTGAGGTGGATTTGCAGGTGGGTTTAGAATCTGCACTTTGCTAATGCACGAGCCGAAAAGTCACCCTAATGAGCAATTCTGAGCAAAAAAGGACATGACAGCACTTCTTTTTCTCTGTTTTTCCTTTCTCATCCCCTCTGCATATCGCTGTTCTTCTGGCAATTCAGCAATTCAGTTGAATTGAATTGGCAGTGGAACCATTCAAACAGGGCAGTACCTAACTCTCCTTTGCTCTTTTCTGAGTATTCCTGGTGTTTATCTAAAATTCACTTTTTAATTTTGTATCATAGCTGGATATGCCTAGTTAAAATTTCATGGCTTGCTTTCTACCATAGTTCTGGAGTTAATATTTTAATCCATTTTGAACAGAAAGGGTACATTAAATCATGCCAATGAATGACTCTATAAAGCATCTCCTGTGGGTTTATGAATTGCTTTGCTGTTGCCATCTGTGTGATGTTGAATTGCTTGTGGGTTTTCAACAGTATCTTTTAAATGTCATTCTGTCTTGACTTTCTCTACCCAGACTATCAGCGCCTGATGACTGTTGCGGAGGGGATCACCACACTGCTGTTCCCGTTTCAGTGGCAACATGTGTATGTCCCCATCCTCCCAGCCTCTCTCTTGCATTTTCTGGATGCCCCTGTTCCTTATTTGATGGGTCTGCAGTCCAAGGAGGGAACAGATCGTTCCAAACTGGAACTTCCCCAAGAGGTGAATGCTGCATGCAGCTGATCCTTAGCGCGGTTTGCAGGGCAGAATTTTGACTCCCTGAGTTCTTTATTTGTTTTCACTTGCTGCAAGCTAAACATTTAAGTTGCATGTGGGCGGGTGGCTTTTGTATGAATTTGGAGCCTTCAAGCCCATTGGGTTCGATGTTTAAATATAAAGTAGCTCTGCAGAGGAACCAGCTGAGTGTTCTGATCTGTTACTGTGAAGAACAAAGCATCAGCGTTTATGTGCAGCAGGCTTGGGCCACAAATCCTAAGAGCTGGGGTTTGTTGAGTTGACATTTCCATCTCCATCTTCTTACTCTCTCTCCACAATATCCGACACTGAGAATGACCCTCAAGTGTTCCTGTACATTCCCCTACTTTCTCCCCTATTATTTTGTATCAGTTAAAGGTGAAGAGCTGAACAGGAAGGTCTTGCATTTGTTTGAATGAGGGATTTCTTTGAGGAAGAAGAAGGGGATAAAACTCTCTGCAGAAGTGAAAGGAACCCAACCTCCAGTGCTCTCCCCAACCTCCAGTGCTGGCTTAAGGTTTTTGAAGGCCCTTGGGCAAGAAACACCCCCTGGGCCCCCTTCCCTCTGTGAGTCTGTCTTCTTACCACTATGGTCCCTAGCTGCCATTGCTCCTCAACTGTTTCCTGACATTGCTACCATTTGCTTGCTTGCCAAGGTAGGAAGGAGGTGGGACCATTTACTGCTGCTGCTGCTTATCATCACCACTGTAGTGTGAGCCAGAGGAAAAGGCAGGTGAAGAAGCAGGTGCAAAGGTGAGGAGGAAAGGCTGCTCCAGGGAGCTCTTGGCAGTGGGCCACACCTAGGCAGGTGCCCAGCTAATGCCTGCCATTGTTGCTAACCCTGCCCACATCCACTGAATTCTGGGGTGAATCATTTTTGGGTTTGAGATATTTGCATGCATAAATCTAATGAGGAGAGTCCAGAAATGAATTATTTTTTATCCTACTTTCAAGATTAACTCATAGCTGCTAACATGGCGAGACACTCCTCAGGAGAAAGGCTGTCAGAACGGCAGTATACAGTGTTTTTGCCCATATGTAGCACAGCAGTTAGAGTGTCAGAGTCATACCGGGAAACTCGGGTTCTAATTCCCATTTGGACCATGAAGCTCACTCGGGTGACTGTCACCTTTTCTCAGCCTAACCAACCTCATAGGATAGCTGGGAAGATAAAAAGGGAGGGAACAGCCTTTAAGCTGCTTTGAGGAAAATCAGGATATAATCGTAATAACATCTGTATATACGTAGCATTGGCCTTGCACTCAGCAAATTAATTTAGCAAATTTCCATTCAGCAAATTCAGCCTTGCATTCATGGTAACATTTCTGACTTTGATCTCAAAAAGGGACTTTGAGTAGCTAGTGTTTTTCTTAATCAGCAGAGCCAGAAGTTCTCTTACTGTCTTTCTACGGGTAGGAAACTGGCTTGTTTCAACTAACCACAGTTAAGATGAACCACAACTTCAGCTATCGGACACGAGCTGAGTTAATCAAAAGCAGAAATACCCATTTGCCAACTCTGACTGTCATCTATATGGGAAGGGGCAGGAGGAGTGCATGAGCCTGGAGAGAGGTGGACTTGTTCACCTTTCACTAAACCATAGTTTACTGTGATATCCAAACAAATCCAGGGATACCCTCGGGAATTTGTTGCTAAGATGCACTTCTCATTGTTGTTTTGGAAGCATGTATATGACTATTGACATCCGCTCCCCAACATTACTATAAAATTCTTTTACTAGTGTAAGGATATTTTACTTAATACAATTTGTAACCAAAAAAGCCTCCCAGAACAACTTGTAAAACAAGAATGAGTCACCATTGCTCATAGGCTTAGGATATAAAAGGCATCTCAGAAAAAGGAAAGGAGATTGTGAGGGAAAAAGAGAAAAAATGTGCGTGCGTGCACAGAAACACTAGTAATAGCAGTATATTGGTGACATTTGTTTATGCCTCTGAGGTCTTCACAGTATTTTTTTTAAATTTTATTTATTTATTTAGACAACTTATATGCACAGAATTGACTGTCTGAACATGTTATGTTCCCAGGACTGGGTATGTACAACAAGCTGAATTCCATGTAGTACATTCCTGTAACCCAGGGAGTTGATAGGCTTACACCAGGCAAGCAAAGCAAACTGCTCTGTTTTCTCAATGGAAACTGAAGTTTCCTGTGAAATTTTAATACCAACTCAGTTCCTCTTGGGTTTTTTTTTAATGATCCCCTTCTCCCTTTTTCAGTATTAGTGTAATCTACCAAACCCTGTACAACAGTTCATGGAACAAATCATATTTTAAATCCAGTCTTTGATTCCACGGTAGGATAAAGTGTTGGTGAATTGTTATTCTTTTTCATACGGCTGTATAAGAACAGTGCATTTTACTTTCTAATGTTATGACAGTGTGAAAAACACAATTTCATGAAAACTGATGCATTTGGGTGTTGAAGCTATGTTCCAAGCATAGCTCGTATTTCCTGCACTTAACCATTAGTCGCAGGCCTCCTGTTTTCACACCACAAACAGGGTTTCAGAAGAAAAAGTTTTTGCTGAATTGATGGTCATGGCAAACCAGATTAAATAAATGCAGTTGTCAGAGTTGACAGTGTTGCTGGGAGGGTATCACATGCAACTTAATGCTCTCCCTTGGCTGTAAATGGTGTCTAATTTTTACAAGCTTGCAATTATTAATTTGGTTCATGCTGCTTCTACATTTACTAAGAAATGCCTCAGCAACTAACAGAGAAGGGGAAGAGGCTGGTGAATGAAGTTAATGGTGGGTGTGTTGAAACGGGGCTTTTGGTCGTTTGGTATGTGAGTGCTGCTGAGGTATGGCTCATTTCTGTGTTGCTTTACTGTTCAGGCCACATTTCAAGCACTTGAGGCTGAATATATGTAAACCATTTGTGCACTTGAGGTAAAATTCCAATAATGGGCCATCATGCATTCTTAACGTTGATCGTGGACATTATCCTTATCCTGGGGTGTTTTAGAAAGTGGGAATCTTGGAGGACATTCCGGGTGCAGATTTCATTTTATGTTTTTAAACAGTTATGTAGCGCCTGCTATTTTAAAAGCCTTAGAAATGAAATACTGGCAGATAAGAGGATAGTCTCCTTGAGTTGAAGGCGTAAAAAGAAGTACAGTTCTGCCAACTATTTAAGTGTTGTATGTGGAAACGGATTTCTTCTGAGCAATATCTTCTCTTCCATAGCATATGCTAGTGGGAATTGCATTCTACATACAGCATGTCAAAAGTAACCTTGGAATGCTTCATTTGCAGGCCTTCCCTGCTTAATATCTTGTTTAAAAATATTTCTCAACATATAAGCAAGCTAATTAAAGTAATTTGGGGGTGGGGGTGTTAGTGCAGATTCCAGTCTTTTTTCTTCCCGTTAGAAGCACATTGGAAGTGGACTTCTTCCCCATGCCCTGGAGGAAACAGCAGAGCCACTGGTACCAATTAAACATCAGTTCAAAGACTAACAAGAATGAGTTGCCATTGCCCTTGTGAATATCTAGGTCTCCTGTTATGCTACTTTGTCATGCTTGGTACATCTGAGGCCTCTGTTCCCGCAGGGGAAATAAACTGGTCTCAGCACTCAATTCATCCAGCACAGCAAATTCATGAGCAGTGAATCCCAGATACAAGTGGAGCTGGGGGGCAGGGTGAAGAGGAGGAATTTAATCTTTTCCAAGGCACCACTTTATTGCTGAGGCTTTGCTAGTTTATATAAAAGTTCTTTTACTTTTTGCTTACTAACTTTCTAAGAGAGATCATTCTCCAACTGTGTCATTCCATCAATGCAAGTGTCATTGCACCAGCAGAAACGAGATTCTGATCTTATTCACAAAGGGAGAATCCAACTGACATGTTTGTTGACGTTTGCTTGTGAAAGAGAAATCGCTGTATGTGTTTTTAAATGTAACAGTTAGCACTGCCTTTATTGAAAGGCAGGTGCCGAAGGTGGCAAAATTTGGGCTTTCTATTAGATGGGAGCAAATGAATTCTTGGTGGAATATTTATTCAATTCCAATATAAGAAATCCAACGGATTACTTTATGGGAGGGATGTTCAGACTGGTCTGTGGAACCGAAGTGTCATTATTTCTTGTCTTCCTCATGTTTCAGTCTGACAACACCACACCGGCTCTTGGCACTAAACTTTCCCACATAATTTGAAATTGTTTGATTCTCAGTGACTTCCTGGTTTATTCCTTGGTGTCTTCACCATGACATTTCAGCAGCAGATTGTGGCTGACTCTTTCATCTAAATCAGAATTTGAGTCCAGAGCCTTTGAAGGTTCTTTCATAGGCCAAGTGGTCCAATTGCTATAACACTCATGCTAGGAAATGATACTAACATTGTCCAAGCGCTGGTTTATGATAGTGTAACATCTGTGGCCCTAGTGCCATGAGACTTTTGGAACCTTTCCATTGTTTGAATGGTAAAATTCTGATCATTCAAAGCACTAAAATAATTACCCACCACTATGTAATATCAGCTCTCTTTGCAAAGTATAGTTAAAGATGTGAAAGCAAATGCGACGTCTCGTACCATTTGGTAATCTGATCATATATTTCATGTTACCGCTGTGTTTTCACAGGTTCATAGATCAGCATTGAAAGGTATTCCCAAATAGATTTTTTCTGGCGGTTTGTGTATGGATGGTTTTTGCATCTTGATGGCGACCCAAACTGTGCATACTATTCTTTGTCTCGGAACAATCCTGCTAAGTAGGCTTAAACTCAAACAGCAACTTGTTTGAAAGTACTATCTGTGTTAATTTCACTGGCCCAGTGAGAGATTTGAACCTAGGCTCTTGAATATGTGAATTGTATTCATTTGTGCTGTACAGGTGTAGGGATGTGGATAGCATCTTTATATATTTGACTATTTTTTTTTCCCCAGGCGAACCTCTGCTTTGTGGATATCGATAACCACTATATAGAGTTACCAGAGGAGCTTCCTCAGTTTCCCAACAAGCTGGATTTCATCCAAGAAATCTCTGAGGTTCTCCTGCAGTTTGGGATTCCCCTTGAAGGTGCCCTCCATTGCAATGAGAGCACCACTAAACTGAAGAACCTTGTCCTCAGTGACTTGGCCAATGATAAAAAGAATGGCAACATCCCCAGCAATACCATCCACATGTATGAGCTGCTTAAAGGCAATGAAACCATTGCTCGCCTCCACGCTTTGGCAAAGAGGACTGGGGTTGCAGTGGATAAAATGAGCATCACTGCTCCTCTGGCAGAAAAAGAAAGAGACATTAAACTCCAGTGTGAAGATGTGGAGCTGAAGGACTATAAGCTAAATGTGCAACTCCGGGAGGTGTTTGCCAACCGCTTCACACAGATGTTTTCTGATTATGAGGCTTTTGTCATTCAAGCAGCGCCGGACAGGGAATCATGGCTGACAAACAGGGAGCAGATGCAAAATTTTGACAAGGTAAATGCAGCCAAGTCATTGCCTTCTGAATGAATTTAATTGCTTTGCTTTTTGCTCAGCGGTAGACCATGTGTGCATTGCACACATAAGGAGCCAGCTCCAGTCCTTGTCATCACTAGTTCAAAAGATCCCAAGCAGAAGTCTGGCAAAGTAATTTGCCTAAAAAATTTGTTCAGAATGATGCTATTCATCCATAGAGCAGAGGTCAGCAAGCTTTTCAGCTCACTGAGCATACGTATAGTTTTGGGAGAGTGTCATTTTCTTCTAAAGTAGTTAGAAGGTTTAGAAAATGGCTTCCATAGGGGGCTTGGCTGCACACAAAATACTCATTTCCCAGAAGATAAGCTGGTAAAGATGGTACTGGAGGCAACACATGTTTTGCAGTATTTCAGTTTCCCAGTTTGAAATAAATAAATGGTCTTAAGAAATTGAGGGCAAACCAGGAATGGCAGGGGACCCAGTGGCACCAAGAGAGTCATCTGGGCACTTAGTAATGCCCATGGGAATTAAGTTGGAGACTCCAACAGTAGATAATACTGGGCTGATTGGACTGTGTACAAGCCAACTTCACGCATACAGTTCCCCCTTCTGGGGTTTGCTTAGCAAGCATAAGCAGGGATAATTTAGATCAACCCTGGTTTTGTCTAGGTCCTGTCAGTTGAATGAAAGGGTTCTCACCTGAAAATAGATCCACTACAAGTTGGGCTAGAGGAGGAACAGTAGAGGAGATGGTTAAAAAAAACCCCATGTCCATAAGCTTCTTACTCAACTTAGTCTAAACCAAAGTTGACATCATGGATTTCCCTCCCTTTTGAAATGTTGAATTGGTATTATGTTGCTCTTTCTGGTAGGCCTTTTGGGAAATGTATTAATTTCTGTGGGAAAATGCCAGTATTACCAGCAAAGGTATAATTCCTTGTGATGAGGTCAAGGTTGTCCTTTCCTTAGTTGAAGTATTTGGTCCTGGGTATCTGCCCCATACAGGGATGTCCACCAACCAGTGATGTTGAGCTGAGTGAAAAAGTAGCCAGTGGGGCACACAGAGCAGTCCTTGGCCACCACTGGGGTGAAACTCACTCATTCTGCCAATCGGCTGTACAATCTACAGGACTGCAGTTTACATAGGAAGGATCATATATGGGGAGGGTTATCTCCGTGTGCCTTCTTCTCCAACAAAAATCATGCTCTGCACACAGCTGAGTGCTAGCCTATGGTGAGCAGAATTTACGTGGGGAGGATGCGGCACCAGGATGGCTCTCCTTACATGCAGTCTTTCTTATTTAATGATCATGCCTGGTCCTCCTGCCAGCTGGACCAGGCAAAGGCAGTGGGAAAGGCATAGTAGAATCTCAGTGCACAGGGAGGGGAGATACAAACCTCTGAACCCCAGCTGCTGAGATGGAAGAAAAGAATGCACATGTGCCTGTCTCGATCTGGCGGTATATCCATTGCTCTGTTGGACCTTGTGTATATCCTTTAAAAAAAAGTTTCATTGCTATTTTCTACTAACTAACAAAACTAACAGGAAAAAAAACTAAAAAAATCCTCAATCATCAAAAACATCAGACCTACTGGGTCAGCCCCCCAAACTTTTTCTTTTTATGGTAATCCATAAGCATATTCAAGTCTATGCATAGTCCCGTTTCTCTAGCTAATAGTAAAAGGAATTCCAAGTTTGATAGAAGTCTGTATCTTCTTTCTCCTTCAGAGACAAAGTCAGTCTGTCCATTGACCTTGTGTATATCCTATGAACATATTGCTATGATAGAACTGGCCAGTTAATGGAACAGGGACGTAAGTATACTGTACAATATAACTTTTTTTTTGGTTTGGTTTGGTTCCCCCCACTCCAGGCTTCATTTCTCTCTGACCAACCTGAGCCTTACCTCCCATTCCTCTCACACTTCATTGAAACCCAGATGTTTGCAACATTCATCGACAATAAAATTATGTCTCAGTGGGAAGAAAAGGATCCATTTCTACGAGTATTTGACTCCCGAATTGAGAAGATAAGGCTTTATAATGTCAGAGCTCCTGCATTAAGAACATCTACTTATCAGAAGTGCAACACATTGAAAGAAGCAGGTATTGGTGGATCTGCCCCTTTCCAATGTTAAAGTACTAAAAAACAGCATAAAAGTAAGTCTTGCAGCTGCTTGGAAGTTGGTTTTTCCCCCTCTGAATGAAGTTGTGTGATATTAATTTCAACTGTCTCTTGCCTTTGAGTGAAGTCAGTGACCCACAACTGTATTATTTTGATACAGTAAAAAATAAAAGCAGTTCAAAACGATCTGAAGACATATAAACCATTAAAATAGTGTGTGTTAAATCTGGAACTCTCAAAATCAGTGCTAAATTACTAACTTACTAGCTTAACTCAAAATCTTCTGAACTGAAAAGTTTTTTCCCCCAGTTTCAAAGGATAAAAATGAACAACCCTAGAGACCTTTCCTTGTATGTTGCTCAGAACAGTTGTTGCTCTGACAAAGCCCTACTTCAGGTGCCAACTGCACTCCAGATGAGCTGGTTTTCACTTAACAGGGGCATTTGGTGGCAAATTGTGGTCTAATTAGCCTTGGATTCATGAGTTATGAATTATAATTATAACCAGGAAGAATTATAACAAGGGAAGACCAGTCTCAACGGTTAGCATCTAACTTCCTGCATCTTCCGCCCATTTGTCTTTCTTAGTAAATTGCATACTTTGCCTGTCCCTTCAGCCATTCTGGGCACTTTGTCACAGAGATGGTTTCCTGCCTCCAAACCAGAACATTGGTCCATCTGGCCCAGAACTGTTAACTGGGACCAGTAGTGGCTCTTCAGGATCTCAGGCAAGAGTTCTTCCTAAACCTATCTGAAAATGCCTGGAAACGTTTGCATAAAAAGCTTTTGTTCTGTCGCTGAGCTAATGTTCTTAAGAACTTTCCAGTCCTTAGCCAGATAGAAAGGAAGTGAAACATTTGCGGGGTTCCCTCCCTACCCACTGGCAGAATGGGTGTGAATATTCTTTTGAAATTCCAGTCTGGAGTTTTTGTGAACATTCTGTGATAGCACAGCAGCTCAGCCAGTGTGTATGACAGGGGAGACATCATAACTATTTGCATTTGGACATGAGATTATGGACATTCTTCATAATCTCTGTGTAGTCCTACATAGCAAAGATGCACCAATAGCCTACAGCCTGGAAGTTTCTGCTCTTTCCTCTGGGTTTTCAAGGCTTCCCCAAAGTGTACTCAATATAAGGTGAACTGCAAAGCCCTAACAGCCATGGTTTTGGCCTCATCTCTGTACAGTGACCCAAGAATTCCCCAAGTCAGCTGGCTCCAGAGATAAATCCTGGAGGTGGAAGAGAGATTTCTTGGTTTAAGTTACTGATGTTTCAAATGTGTTTGATTACCATTTTCAGCTCAGGCCATCGAACAGCGACTAACAAAGATTGATCACACTGCCATCCATCCACACTTGCTTGATATGAAGATAGGTCAAGGCAAATATGAACAAGGTTTCTTCCCCAAGCTGCAGTCAGATGTATTAGCAACTGGGCCTACCAATAACAAGTAAGCTTTCAAAACTGAAATAATGCATAGAAGGTGTGCATCATTTGTTTACCTAGTAACAAGACTGTTTTAGTGGTGGACCCCATTCCCTTGGTCACAAGAAGTAAAAACCGATCATCAATTGCTGACATCTTGTGCCTTCACTTTAGCGATGCTAGTTCAATGCATCTTCTGCTTGTGTAGCCTTTGCCTTAATATATTTGGTATAATACTAAATTGTATCTGTATTATAATTAATGGAACTGATATTACAACGGAACATCAGTCTTCCTACTGTCAGTGTCCATTATCTTCTGGACAGTACATTTAGATCTTGCTGACTTAAAACTTTAAATTCATTATGGATGTTCATTGCAAGGCCAAATGGTCTTTTTGTTGTCTTTTGCAACCTACCAGTTTCTCCCTTTCTGAAAACAAAAAGAAATTCTAATCAAGCAGGAGAAAACATCTTCATTGGTTCTTTCAATTGATTTTCAACCGCTAGTTAACTTGGAATAAATCAGACATGTATGCCACAAAATCAAAGTGATTAAATAAGCTTCCTCTCTAATGCTCTAATCTCCACTGATCATCCGGTAATTCTTTGTAATTACTTACAAAGGAACATAATGGATTGCATGTATCAGAGGTTGGTGGAGCAGACTGCAAGGCAAACAGGAGAGCTTATGAAAAGTCGTGCAGTTTATACGCGTTCATCATCTCCTGCTTTTAAAAAAGCTCGCACACTTTGCCCGTTCTTTAATCATGCCTTCCCAGATTAGTTCTTGTATCAGTTTTATTTACTATGTTGCTTTTAGTCAATTTTACCCACTGTTGGTTTAATTTCATGTAAACCGCCTAGAGTCTCTGGGAATGGAACAGTATATAATAAATAAACCAAGCAAGCAAGCATCAAGTACCAGGAGACTGTCTCTGCTAGCTGTGGGGCAAAAGAAGGTAGATTGGGGCCTTCTGGTGGATTTCCAGGCATAAAGAAATTTAGCATCTAAAGCCACTGGAAATAGTAACCTCATGTTTATGTGTCCCATTGGATGGGTCCAAGCAAAGACCCGACTGGCTTTATGGCAATATGTACAGCAGAGGCATGCAACTTCCATGGTTAGGGGGCTGCTTCACTGCCCCTGCTGCTGCGAGCCAAAATTCAGCCACTTGCCTTCTAATGCTTTGCTTTAAAATAGCCGCTTTTGCTCATGCTGTAGCACCAACATCCTGATTTCCTGTTTAAAATGAACTGTTTTGCTTTACTACCACATGGTGGTGGGGCGAGAAGAGAGTGCTCGAAACACCAGGGGACCCATATGTTGCCCACAGGCCATTATGTTTCCTACCTGTGATACACGGTAGACGGGAAGTTGAAAAAATGGTAAGACCAACTCTGGTGAGGAAAAGCTGAGGGAGCTGGGTGCCTTTAGCCTGGAGAAGAGATGACCTAGAAGTGGTACGGGCCATCTTCACACATTGAAAGGGTGGCCACACGGAAGATGGGGCAAATTCATTTTATGCTGCATCACATGACTGAAGAAGAGTTCAGATGAAACATTGGGAAGAATTTTGTAGCAGTGTTTTTTCAACCACAGAACAGCCTGCCTCTGATGGTGGACTCACCTTCATGAGAATCTTTCACCAGACAGGTGGTTGGCCACTTAACAGGAACGCTTTAGCCACACATTTCCAGCCTTGGGGTGGGGTGGCCTAGATGAGCTGTGAGGTCCCTCCCAGTTCTATGCTTAAAGCAAAGAATAACTCGGCACATGTTCACGGCATGCTCTATTTTCATTCTTCTCATGCCTCCTCCTCCTGCCCAGTTTACAGTCTTCCCTTCAGTATTACTGTGAGCATGCAAATTAGACATCCTTTATAATGCATATTGTTCTCCAACACATCTGGAGGGCCCCAGGCCGGGAAAAGCTATATTGGAATATTAAACCGTAAAGTTGTCTTTTCTACTCTGAAATGTGCACATCTGATATTTTGTTCTCACTCTTTTCCTCTTTCCTATCAAACAACCTCAGTCGGTGGATCAGTCGCAGTGCCACGGCACAGCGTAGGAAGGACCGCATCCGACAACATTCGGAGCACATTGGTTTGGACAATGACTTAAGAGAGGTACGCGCTTTTCTTAACTGCTGGCAGTCTGAGGCTCTGTGTCTTGTATGTGTGTGTGGTTTTTTAAGGGTTTGTGAAATGACAGGCTGCTAATCTTTATTCTTTTTAGAAGCTTAGATCTTTTTCCAAGCACCTATTCATTCATTTAAAGCTCTGCCAGGAGAAGCTTAATGCACAGGTAGTAAGAAATGTAAAATGTATGCATTGTTTTGTAAAGAATAACTTGCTCTGAAAAAGAAGTCATGCAGAATTTTGACCTGAATGTGCATTGGTATGTTCCACCAATTGCTGTCACCTACAATCTGAAAAGGGAGAAACGAAGGACAGGGGAAGTATAAATCTAACAGCAAGTTATTGGTCCGTTTTTCAAATTTTTTACGTGTTTGAACATGTGTGGACACAACCCTACAGGTTTCAAAGTCTGGCATTTTTGCACTGGAGGAACAAGCCTGGAGATGAGTATTATTTCAAGACTGTTGTAAGAGGTTTTGAGAGAGGCTTTGCCTCTCAGGATCACACATGCATGCCAGTTCTCTCTATGCAGTTACCTGTGTTACAAATGTATTTCTCCGTTCCCTACTACTCTCTCCAAGGCAGCTTACAAACTTGCTTGAAAGAGATTGTTTATACTCTCAACAGGCAAGCTGCCACATTTTGTTTTTTCCATCTTAGAATAAAGCAGTGGTGGGCAACCCTGCCTCTGGGCTGCATATGACCTTCACTGCCCACTCTGCAGTTGCGGCTGAATTCTGAAGCGGTCAAATATGCGTTTAGAGCATGCTAAAACTGCCTCCTTGAGTTGCGCGTAGCGGCTTACTGCTGCATTACTGTGGCAAACTGTTAACGGGGTCATAGCAGCAGGAGGGTGAGTCGGCAGGGTCCCCAGGCCCTCTGAAATTGCCCAGCTCTGGAATAAGGGAGTAGATCTCTCTCTCAGCTTCTAATGCCTACATAGCTTCCGGCTGCCTTGACCTTAGTGGTGGGACATTGACATGGACTTTCCAGGAATGGAGCAAGAATTAGTTTCTAGTTAACAAGCCATGCTTAGCACAGTTAATTTCACACAACAAACCGGAATTCATTAAGAATCCACAGTTAAAACAGCAGCCCATGCTCAATCCATACTCAGCCATATTCATACTTTGGCTTGTTGTGTGAACCCATTCACAGAGTACTGCGTGGAACTAGGTTACGGGCAGTGTGGGACTACTGATGAAAATGGCTTCCATCTGCCAAATTTCCTGCCAGGTTTCTGCCAGTAATATGCAATAGTCATGACATTATCACAGTGTGCATACAGTGGGAACACCCATGTTCCACATTACTGGCTGCTGCTGGTAGGAAAACATGCAGTAGGATGACATGGAAATACGTGTTCTGGGTGAAAGATGGCTGCCCAAGTTTCTTGCAATGTGAACCTCTGCCCTTACCGCCCCAGACTGCACTTGCCAACTCCCTAAACTTAAATTTGCAATGTGAGGGCATGTTATTTAGAGATGTAGTTGCTCAGGCAACACAAACAAGCTTTGTTTTGGTTTTAGAGCCTACATGTGTGCATGCAATGATTCTTAACCCTTTAAAGGGTACATGCTCCATCTACAGCTTTGCCTGGAATTGTACATCTCGTTAAAACATCATCTTGTCTATGCCTTTTTCCTATTTAGCATTTCCCTCCATCTTTAAAGAAAGAAAGCCCAGCCTTTTCACCTTGATTGAAGTCATGTTGCTTCTTTCTCTTTATTTTTCCTCTGCCAAAGTAACACATTCTTATGCTGTTTTGCCTCTGAATTGCTGAACTCAGGACGCATAACATTTAGATGGGATAGGGAAGACCTTGCATTTTTATTTGCCACTATGAAAGCTAATTCCTTGGAAACAAGCCAAAGTGTTGTTTGTGAGCATTTACTGCTATTAAATGTGATAGCTCAAAGCATTGCCTTGTGTTGCTTAATATAAACATCTTCCATGCTTTATTTTTTCCATATTGGTGCTGTATTTACTCTTTTGTCTTTCTGTTTTTGCTTTGACCCTTATGCATGCATGTTTCGCCTTCTTCTTTTTCTCCATCTGCCGTTTCTGCCATTGGTTATGGCTGCCTCCTCTTAGCCATCGACGGAGTTCTTGATTCGTCAGAACTCAATGGCATTCTGGGAGTGGGTTCAGGGCCCACCCCCTCCTGCACGACCACCTAAAAAATCATTCTCTGAATGTTGCCTGGTATGTGTTCTTTAATTTTGCCAAGAGCTGCCTTCTCCAGCATGCTAAACCACTGCTTTTTTGGGTAGTATATTTTGCACATGTCTATGGTAATTTAAAGTGTGGTTCTAATCAGACAAGTTATTCAACACAGTGATATGAACTCATTCTTTGAATCCGTTTTGCAATACAAGACCTGAAAGAGATGTTCTTATTCTCTTATCTTCCGCAATGCAATTGGGCTAGCAAAAGTTAAAGTTGCAGAGTAATAATGTCCTGATAAAGCTAGAACAGGACTTTTATGTACCTTTAAAACCCATTTCTTTTATTAAAGGTGCAATGTTTGGACACAAAATGCAATATTCTGTGCATGTTTGGACAAAAGATGCAAAAACTGTATGTGTGGCTGGCTGGGGTTTGCTGGGAGTTATCGGACTATTTTTTTGTCTAAACAAGCATAGGATTTGTCAAAATGATTGCCAAAGGCTGATATTTGTAGACATTGTCTCTCACTTGTTTAACTAGAACCACACATGTTGAATGATTGCCACCCCTCTTCTTCCTCATCCTTTTCTCTCTAGTTGATTGCAGTGTTTCCTCTACTGCTGTTTTCCCAGGGCCTTTTGCTGTTTGATACCTTTTCGGAAAAAACTACAAATTTTGACTGCAGCACCTAGCTCAGTCTTGTGGGCTATCTTAGCCTATCCTGAAGCTTGGGGAAGAGAATGACTTCTGTTGTTGTATATGGGTTGTAAGAGAGTTCAGTTGCCAATCCCTGACAACAGAAACTCAAGATCAAACTAGATGTGATATTAATCACATCTTTGATTTCCACACATTTTCATTCTCATCTTTCTTTCCCAAACTTGAGAGTTATGGATGCAGGTAACATCACATTTACTTTTACCTGGAGCTGTGGCAGGTAAGACTTGGACTCTGATCTTAGGGGAAGGATCACAGGGTTCAGACAACACAGTAACCTGAAGCTTAAGTGTAGTGTAGTGTTCTTGAAGAATGGGTTGAAACATGGATTATCATATTGTCTGAGCCCAGCCATGATAACAAACCATGGTTTGTTAACCACAAGCAACCCCTAGCTCACAACCCAGCAACCAACCATGGATTCTCTTCGTGGGTTGTCTATGCTTACTAGACCATGGTCTATTACCTCAGCTGGGCTCAAACAACATAATAACCCATGGTTCAGCAAAAACCTTTGCTTCACCAACAACCCACACTCAATCCATATTCAGACCTTGAATGTGGGTTATTTATTTGAATGAACCTTGTCAATGACCCTTCTGTGTACTTGTGTCCTACAGCAAGGTAAGTCTAGTGGCAAGGCAGGCATCATGTGCATGTTACATCTAGCTGCCATTAAAATATCAAACTGTGTGCACACTGCCATCCTTGGAAAGTTTTGCACAATTTTGGAATGAAAGAAAATACTTCTGCCTCCCCGTTGCACAACAGCCTGGATTGGAGTTGATTTATTGTAACAACAAAGAGCAGCCTTCCCCAATGTGGTTATCTACAGATACGTTCCACTGCAACTCCTGCTCTCCCCAGCCCTTACCCATGTTAGCCGGGGAGGATGAGAGCTGCAGGCCTGCACATCCAGGAGACACCATATTGGCAAAACTGAGAGTTTAGAGCAGCCTTGCCCAAGCTCCAGATGGTTTGAACTTTAATTCCCCTAATTCCCAACCACTCTGAGAGTTGCACTGTAGCACTTTATTGGAATTGCAGTCCCACACATCCAGAAGGAGCCACATTGGAGAAGGCTGGTTTAGAGGCAGATCCCAGTCCTAGACTTTGCTACCCCAAAGAGTCAGATTTCTGTCATTCCATGGTAAATGTTTGTTAGGAACAGTTATCTGTGTGTTTCTTTAAAAACAAAAGCAAACGGTAGAATTCAGGTTGGGATGAAAACGAATGGCAAGGCCAGGCAAAAGTGCCAAGAGTCTATAAACAATTCCTAAATATACTGACATGTGAAACGTTGAACCAGTTTAACAAATGCTGACTCGACCGGTTTGACTACAGTGGCACCAAAGTCCTGTCCTTGGCTTTTGGAATTGTTGCTTAGCCTTTCAGGGCTCTGTCCAGATGGTTGTTTCCCATGGATTTAGTTTTGTACTTATGTGTTAGAAGTATAAGATGCATCCTGCAAAAAAGAAAGGTAGGTCCCACACACGTATAGTAAAGTACCAGCTGAGAAACAGCAGAGGAGTAGACCTCAAATCCATGGGTCTGTCAGAGGCCAGATTTACCTGCACAATCACCACCAGATCTAGAAGAAGTGGCAAACCTGTTCTCTGATGCTGATTATCTACATATATATGTGGCATCTCACTGGAAAGATTTCCTGTGGACACCCATGTTCCTTCCTGAAGCGCCCTGTTGCCTGTGCATCCATGAAAGGCCATTGTAAGCTAATGACAGAAAATTCTCCAGAGATGGTGCATATCCCATGGCAATGCTCTTTACTCAAATTAAAAAAAAATCCTGCACAGATATGCTTTGCTCTCACTCCCTGCTTCTAAAAACTTTAGGTAACACACCACGCCTTGTAGGATTTATGTTTTCATATAGTATGAATTTGTCAATTAGGTAAGGTTAACAAGATCAGAGTTATCTGCACTGCTTGTTGCATTTATTCTAGTTTCTCCTTTCTGATTGGAATAGAAATACATGCAGGAAGCAAGGACCTTGGGGAAAAATCTGAGGCAGCCCAAACTCTCCGATCTTTCTCCAGCTGTAATTGCCCAGACAAATTGGAAATTTGTGGAAGGTTTACTTAAAGAATGCCGCATGAAGGTAAGAATTTTTGTATGCCATGGTTTGATTAATCTGCCCACCCCTGCAAAAAGAGCAACCTTAGTTTGCTTGTCTGCTGCACGCATACGCAGGTCTAGTTCACATGATTTCAGGAAGGCTAAGAAGCCATCATAGCTCGTTCATCGCCTGGTGTGTGCCAGTTAGATTTGCATAATTACCCTCACAGGTGCAGCTTCTCATTTTATCCAGACCCAGTTAGAGTGACATGCTGGGGTTGGTAACAAACTGCCCTGCATAATCCATGGGTTCTGTGTTGGTTGTCACCCACCTCAACAAGCCACCCTTGCAGGGTTCGGTTGATGTGAAAAGCAGGGCTGGCAAGGGTGATTATGCAGATACAGCCAGAATGCAACTGGCATATACAAAATGGCTTATCAATCATGCTGTAATTGTGTGAAGCATTCCACTCTCTGTCCCAGCATTACAAAGAGGCTTCCATGCTCCGGAGTGTGATATTTGTAAATCTCTTACTTTGTTTGCAGACCAAACGTATGCTGGTAGAGAAGATGGGCCATGAAGCAGTGGAGCTTGGGCATGGAGAAGCCAACATAACAGGTCTCGAAGAGAATACACTCATTGCTAGTCTTTGTGATTTGCTGGAAAGAATTTGGAGCCATGGACTCCTGGTCAAGCAGGTCAGTGTCTTGCATTCTGTCTTCCTTTTTGAAATAGGTTGTCCCTCATCTTGGAGGGCCTGTGGGAATATACGTTGAACCACTGAGTGGCCACTGTAGATCAGTAGGTCAGTGTATACCAGTTGCTGGGGAACATGGGTGGGTGGGGTGCTGTTGCACTCATGTGGGTTGGCCAGCATGTGAATATGCATAGTACACTTGACTAGACCTGCTCTGACCAGTCTGGTTCCTCTCCTGTTCATGTACACCAGTGCTGTTGCTGGTTCATCCAGCCTGATACTGCTGCTCTGATGGGCAACGGATCACCAGACTGCCTCAAGCACTGGCCTTCCTTAGTCTGAGGACCACAGGGTTGCAAATGCCCTGGACTGAATGCATCTAAAGCATATGTCCTTCAGCTGAGTTGAAGCCTCACCTCTGCTGCCCAGAACTTGGGACATACCCGCATGATGCAGTTTTGCTCTCTTGTTTTGTTGCTTTCGAGCACAGGCGTTGCTTGGTCCCAGATCTTTTGCCCACAGTTGCGAGTATCCAGAAAAAAACGCCCCTTTCTCCAGCCAGGCAAGGGCAGTTTCCAAGAGGGCTTGCAAATAGGGAAGAAAAGGTTAACCCACCCCTCCCCACATGCCGCAGCATCCTCCCACTCTGAAATGCCTCCATGGGGCAACGAAGCTTAGGAGAAAAGGCCTTCAATTGCTGCTGATGGAATCTAAGTTCCATTGCATTGTGGGTCAGGGTGGGGAAGCTGATGCAGCTTGTGAAAAAACTGACCAGCCACTCTTTTTTCTGCATTTTTATATCTGTTTGCAGTTAATTATAACTAAAGAGGAACTACTGATTTAGGGTGATACTTAGTTTGGGTGGTTTCTTTTGTTTTGTGTGATTTGGGTGGAAATGAAATTTAAATAAATGGTTATCATTATTTCTGAGTTGCATGTGTAGTTATAAATTAAAATAAGACAATTTTATGCAGACTAGTGTCTCTGGATTTGGTTCAGGGCCCAAATCTATGCTGCTTAGCACTGAGTCTGCCCTAGAGGAGTCTTCCCCAGTGTAGCATTCTGTGGTTGTAGATATTGCTCCTCTATGGGGAAATAGAACAGTAACAAAAAATAAAGGCCACTGAGGTCTTCCTGCACATTTGACTGTGTGGAGCGTGGCGCTATCTTTGAGATACTCTGTTAGCACCATGTTGTTTTCTCTTTCGTTCACCTTTTCTCCATCTTTAGATTTAAACCGTTTGATTATGGGCCCAGCATTCTGCCACAGCTTATCTTCTTAATCTCTCACACTCTGTTTCACTTTTAAGTTTCTCATCATCTGTTTGCTGTTTTTTAAAAAAGGGAAAATCTGCATTATGGTCCCATTTGATTCAGTACCAGGAAAGAGAAGAGAAACAAGAACAGCTTGCAGAATCCCCCGGTGAGTGCAGGCCTTGTAGGTCAAATGGGTTCTGGGCAAGCATTGTGATTATAGTAGGATTACTGTATTTATTATTGTTTATCTTTGTATAAAGCACCCAAGATTTGCTAAGTGCTGTATAGAGATTATTGGTGCCTTTGTATATGTGTCTACAAAGAAGTAAGTCTCACGGAACCCAGTTAGATGGGAATTTCATTTAGAGGGTGGCTTAATTTTTCTTTTGGTGTGTCTCACTGCACATCTCTTAGGATGTAATCCTTCGGATGTAAAACTGCTGACATGCACTGTGCAGTAAAATATAGTATCTTCATAGACTGTTGCATTTTTGTATGAGCTCAGGTGATCTTGTGTATACACAGCAAACTTATTGAGGGCTTTAATTTGCTCTTTATTTTCTAATGGAATTAAAATGCAGTACAGGCAGTCCCCAGGTTATGAAGGAGTTCTGTTCCTGAGAAACCGGAAAAGTGGCTCTAAATTGAATTTAGATGTAAGTCAGATCGCATGTAGTCAGCCCTCCACATTTGTGGGGATTGGGTGCAGGACCCTCATGAAAGCGGAAAAACGATGAATGTCTCTGAGGCCCACTCCCCACCCAAACTCCCCAGTGACTCCTCTTTGCAGCAAGGAAATGCCAGAATTTCCCTCTCCGGATGGGCAGGGCCAGAAGGCATGTTTTGGAGGCCCTCCCTCTCTCCCCTTTCACTTCCCTCTCTTTATGGTAATGATGATTTTCCACAGTAATTTTTAAAAATTAACAGGTTTTATGGCAGTTTGTTCATAAGAATGGGTTGTTCGTAACTTGGACATTCATAACTCAGGGACTGCTTGTATTTATTCCTGTATTTTGGAGGTAATTTGGCTTGGTTTAACCCACCTATACTTGGTAAAGGCTTTACTAAATAGCATGTGTGCTCTGGACTTACTCTGCCCCCTGTTCTACTATTTTCCTTGGTTTTTCACCAGAAGAAGTTTGCCAGTTGCAGTATGCAAACTTGCAGGTAGCACAGAAAGATGGCAAAATGGAGGAGAGGAAATGAGAGTGAAGGAAACACAGACCCAGTTCAAACAATGAAACAGCTCATAGTTTGTTAATTATGAAATTGTTTGGGAGGAGAGCAGGAGAAAGTGAGCACGCTGATACTCCAAACAGCCCAGAGATGTGGCATCCCTGGGTTTTCTGTGATGTCTAGACCTGCAGTACTGGACTGTTGAGGGAGAAACTACCAACAGTTAGAACTCATGGTTTGTTCTTGAATTAATAACTCAGGGTTGTTTCTCCTTCAACAATCCAGTGCTCTGGGTTGGAATATCACTAAAAATAACACATGGGTCCCCATCCCAGGGCTCTCCAGTGCACTGGAAGCTGGTGAGTGGTGAGCACACTCACTTTATTCCAACAAGGATGGATGGGTCATTTCAGAGTGTGAACCTGGTCACAGAGTTGGAGTTTGGGGTGGGTCACAAAACAAAGATCCTGGAAGGACTGCCTGGAATGAAAATCCTTTATCCCAGTCCTTAAAAGTGGAACTTCATAGGCATATCTCAAATGCATATCTAAAGATGTTGGTCTATATTTAATACTTATTCCTGGTTAGATTGAATAGCAGTTTTGCAGTAGTTTACAGTGACATGTAAAGGCTGAAAATTAAGTGCTGGAATTTGTGTTGGTTTTGTGAATCCACATTAAGGTTTCTCTTCTGTGTAAAAGGCCTTGCAGAACAGATTTAGATAGATCTAACAGGTTTAGAGAAGGCGGCGTTTGATGGTTCTTCTTAAATCTTGAGAGTGTAACTTTGGATTAACTAAAAAGCAGAGAAGTAACCTGTAAGCTGCCATAATGTAGACACTGTGAACAGGTAGAAAATTCTTTACATGACATCCTTCTCCTGGTGGAATTCTTAAAGAGGATTAGGATCATGGCAGCTTTCCATAGAGGAATGTGTTGCTATTGTGTCCATGCAATTCCCTCACCACGCTCCTTTCCACTCTGCAGTTGCTCTTGGGCCAGAAAGAAGGAAGTCGGACACAGGTCTTATGTTACCCACCCTGAGAATCTCCCTTATCAGTGATATGAGGTATGGAATTTAATTCATAAAACCTTGACTTAAAAAGTTGATTGTGCAGCCCGGCTCTGAATGCACCTGTACATTACAGTTTTGTGACTGTCAAATAATTCTTTGACTTTTTTAACACAAGGGTTGTGAGAATGAGCAAATGTTGTATGGGGGAAAGGGGTGCAGAAGGAGGGGATGCCTCCTTCACAGTTCGGGACTGGGCGGGATGGACTTTGCCAATGAGGGATAAATGTGAGAGATCCGGTTCATTCAGAATGGCAGCCCATCCATTTAAATTGAGAGCCAGGGTGGTGTAGCGGTTAAGAGCATGGGACTGGGACTCAGACGATCCGGGTTCGAGTCCCCACTCAGCCATGGAGCCAACTGGGTGACTTTGGGCCAGTCACAGACTCTCAGCCCAACCTACCTCACAGGGTTGTTGTTGTGGGGATAAGATGGAGGAGGAGAATGATGTAAGCTGCCTTGAGTCCTTTGAGGGAAAAGGCAGGATATAAATTGAAAAATAAATAAAATAAATAAATACATACATACATACATACCAGTGGGCTGTTGCGCCATATCACGTGTGCTCCCTCCTGTGTACCTTCCTCTTCCACTTTTACTTGGCAACCCATGATCAGCTCAGCAGCTCACAGTCAGCCCCATTTAATTGTTTAGAGACTAAACAGCACAGAGGTTCACCCATGGTTAGTCCCTAAATGACCCAGAGATCCAGGATTGGAGGTTACCCTAAGAACCTACAAAGGGTTGTCATTACATGCAAACACAGAGTGTTAGACTTGGTCTGGGAAGAGTCACATTCCAGGCACTACTGGAGGGGTCTCACCATCTGTTAGCTTAGCTCTTACCTACCTCACAAGGTTGTTGTTAGGGGAAAACAGGAATGCTGGTGTCTGCCACCTTGAGTTTCTTGGAAGACAGGTGAAATATAAAACCCATATATTGACATCTCTTTCTGCACCAATATTTGACTCTGAAACTCCAGTTTATCTGAAAAGAATACACTCATGCAAAGGTATTTTTAATTCCATGACTTGAATTAAATGAATATATTGTACTTGCTGGAAAAGTCATAGGAAACATGATCACATAGTCTTTTTTTTTCTTTCTGAAATGAACATCTGTCACTACTTTGCCATTTCGATGGAAATAGATTGTGTCAGCAAGCATATCAAGTGGGTTAGAGCTCACAGGTATGATTGTTCATGATAAAGAATGAGAAAAAAGAGGTATTGCTGTGAGAGCCATCTTTTTCCAGCTTTGGGGGCAGGGGGCAGCTGAGGCAAACCAAGAACACCTGTAACTGTGGCCAGCACAGAAAGTGCCAACAACACTCCCCTAGGCCAAATTCTTCAGCCTTCTGTGATTCAGGACTTACATTTGGGCTCATCGTGCATTCAAGGGGCTTTTGCTTTTCACCATACAATTGCATGGAGAGAGTGTTATATCAGCCTTATCCAAACTGTTCCTGAGGCTGTCTCTGCACTTCCTCTTCTTGAATCCCTTCAGATGTCCCTTAGGTCTCTGGTTCAGGATCCATTGTGGGAGTTGCACAAGGTATTTACTCACATCCCTCCTTAAGCATGGGGTGGGGGGCATGATATCCCTCTATAAGGACCTCCAAGGCTGTCACAAAGAGGAAGGTCAAGATCTCTTCTTGTTAATGCCAGAGTGTAGGACACGGAATAATCAGTTCAAGTTGTGACAACCCAAATTCAGGCTGGACATCAGAAAAGCTTCCTCGCTGTCAGAGCAATACGACAGTGCGACCAGCTGCCAAGAGAGGTGGTGGGCTCTCCCACACTAGAGACATTCAAATAGAAACTGGCCGGCCATCTGAGTGGAATGGTGTAATGTGGTGTCCTGCAACAGCACGGGGTTGGACCCGATGGCCTTCATGGCCCCTTCCAACTCTACTATTCTGTGAAGAAATCTGTTCTATAGACCAGCCTTCCCGAACCTGGTGGTTCAGCACCACAAGTACGAATACCAGCTCCAGCCCCATTTACCTTACTGTTTTTCCTTTTGCTTATGGGGGCTTACAAGGTTCTCCTTCTCTCCATTTTATCCTGACAATCACTGCCCAGTGAGGTAGAGGAGGCTGCAAGTCAGTGACTGACATAAAGTCAACTAGTGAACTTCATAGCTGAATGAAGTTCAAACCCAGATCTCCCAAGTACCAGACCAATGTTTTAACCCAGGCTTCCCCAACATGGTGGCCTTCAGAAGCTTTTAGACCACAACTCCCAGAATTCCCATCCATCAGGGCCATTGACTGGGAATTCTGGGTGCTGCAGTCCAGACATGTCTGGAAGGCACAAGGCTGGGGAAGGCTGTGTAGACAAAAGCCAACGGTTCTTCTGTGAAATAATTCTTTCAGTATCAATTGTGACAAAAATATGACAAAACAAATGGATGAATTGCTATGAGCAATTGGAGTGGGGTGCTTGCATGCAGGGTAAGATCAACACCACCAACAGATGGAGTCATCTAGTACAGGCTATTTTAAAGGAGGGGTAAGCTACTTATGGCCTTCCAGGTATTTTGGCCTATAGCTCCCACCATCCTTCACCATTGGGTCTGAAGCTAGAGTTCATGGGAGTTGTAGGCCAAAACATCTGAATTTGTAGGCCAAAACAAGTGGCAATTTTGCAAGACTCTGAATATTACTATCTTTCCCAGATCATAACATAACACAAAACTGGAAAATAGTCAATCTATCATCTGTCATGTGCAGCATATCTTCATATGCAGAGGAGCGGGAGGCTCCAAACCAAACTTCCAGCTTTGAGGCTTGGGTGGGAAACACCGCTCCACTTCCCTTGGGTGATGCTAACAACCCACTGGCGCCTTCTCCGTTTTCTTTAGGAAAATGATTTATACTGCTTAGTGTGTTTGTGCACTGAACAGAGCTCATCATCAAAGATAGGGGAGTGGGAAGCATCTGCTTTGATATCGTCCCCTATCAAAAGGCTTTAAATAGCTACAGCGCGTGCTTCTCATTTTTGATGGGGGTGAATAATATGTGTGTCGTGTTTCTCAAGGACTTTGGATCACATGCCCAGTTGCCTTGTGCTGTAAGCCCTAAGAGCTGCCTGCTGAAGGCCTGAGCCAAAAATGAAAGGGTTGCTCTGCAGAACGGGTGCAGAGTGCCAGAAGCAAGACTCTTTTGTAGCGATCCGGATGGTTGGTTGTGTGAGTCATCGCCAAAGGAGAAGGAGGCTGTGGGAGTAGCTAACAAAGGACAAAAGGGAGCTTTGGGGGATTATCTCACTGCTTTGAAAGAGCCAGCTGGAGTTTCAAGGTCCTCCTTGTACGAGTAGCTGGGAAGCACCAGCTCCTGCACAATGACGCTGAACGCAGAGCAGGCTCTCTGCTTGAAAGGCTGCAGTAAACAATGCAGTACTTGGGGCTGTAGATCTGGTAGGGTGTTGCAGCTCTGCCACAAGTGATCCCCCACCCCGTCGCTTTTGTGATGCAGGGGCTGCCGCAGCACAGGGACTCACCCCCGCCCTGTGCCCCACCGCCAGCATTTCCCCTTCTGGAACTGTGGCAATGCCAGAATGGGGAAGGGACGGCCGTGGGGCAAGGATTTGCTTTCGGACCTGCCAGTTGCTACGGCACCGTTGCTGCAGTGTTTTTCCCAGTCGGTCACTAGTAGACTGTAGGGTCTCTGACTCCTTTGGGTGACAGCAAGTTAAAAAAGTAAAGAAATCTCTGACATGACTGTCTGTGCTATGATCTCATTTCCATCTGCATTTTTTAACCTGTGAGCATTAACTGGTTGGTTTGAGCAGGACTTTGTGCTGCTTTTCTAGCCTGTTTAGTATTAGTATCCCCGATAGGTATTGATTGGATGTCACTTAGATGAAGAATTGTACTTGTACACACAGGCCATCCCAACGTGTGGCTCGTGGAAAGTGGTAAGAAACCAGCTGCACCCTGAGCAGCCATTTTGCACTTGGCTTGGGCTGCAAAAAACATGAGTACTGGATGCAGAAGCAGGAGGCAGTGTGGAATGCAACATTCGGCTGTTGTTTGGAGTTCCCTTTTTTCAGCATGGAATTGCTTTGCTGAAGGAACTGCACTGGCAACAGATTCTTTGAGGGTCTCATAAAGCAGGGATGTCAACAACCACCACCCAAAATTTGTTTCAACAGCCCTGAGGTCTCTCCACTCTTGGTCTAAATGACCTGTGAAGATGCCACTGCAAATTCCGTGGCACGAGAAGTTCTTTCTCAGATGCTTTACATTTGTGTTCCCATTTTGTTTTCCTTCAGGCACATTCAGAACATGAGTGAAATAAAGACTGATGTGGGCCGTGCCCGGGCCTGGATAAGGCTGTCTCTTGAAAAGAAACTTCTATCGCAACATCTCAAGCAGCTCCTTTCCAACCAAGCCCTCACAAAGTAAGTGCTCAAAGGCTGGTTGTTTTAGGATCCTCATTTGCAACAGGAGTTTCATGCAACATTTCTGGGATCTGGGGGTGACCTAAACTTCCACTAAGCTGCTCTTCAGTTGTGTCTGGGTACTAAGAGTTTGTGTTTGGAGCTTATGTAACACCACTTCACTCCAGTGAAGATTCTGCATTGCTCCAGATAATTAAAGGCAAGCTTGTTTCCCGCTCATGTCTTTTTCTTTTTTATCTTGCTCTTCCTCATGCAACCTTGGAGCCAAATTTTTGGCTTCACAACGATCCTGTAGGGTAGGGTAGGCTAAAAGGGTGTATGAGCTGCTCATGGCTGCTCCACAATTATGTGGATTTGAACCTGAGCTGCTCAAATCTAGCACCAATGCCACAGAGAGATGCAACCAGTTATAAGCCACGGAAAACCTCTGCATGCATGTTTAGCAAATGTTGGTATGAGGCCAACAAATGGTTGCTCATGAGCTTTGCAGAAATCAGTGGGACCAGTGAAGAAATCTTTATTCCATATATGCCTCCCTATAAGATAATCTGTGGATGCCCTGCTGAGAATGCCTTTCCCTGTGGAGGTAGGAGGGTGGCCACAAGGAATGGCCTTGGTGGCCTGTTTCTAATGGTGTTTATTGTAAGTAAATACCACTAGCTCCAGCTCCAGGAGGCAGAGTTCTTGCAGAATGCAGGAGCTCAGCTGTGGTTTGGAGCTGCATTTTTCAGCATGCAGATCCTTTGCTGAGGGAACAGCTCTGCCTGCCAATTCACTGCTGGGTCAGTTTTAAGGTTTTAGCACTAGTGCTGAAAGCCCTGAACACCTTGAGACCGGGTTACCGGAGAGAGCACCTTCTCTCTTACCCACCTGCCCAGTCACTGAGGCCTCATGGTTCTGCACAAACCCTTGACTTGGCTGGAGTCCACCAGAAGAAGAGTTTTCCATGTGGTTAGCCCAGCTTCTTTGGAATTCCATGGCTCAGAAGGTCAGGGAGACACCAGCTCTGCGCTGCTTTTGGTGCCTGCTGAGTGCAGCCTTGCTCAGGGAAGACTTTCTTGTGGATAGCCACAGTTTTAGCATTATCTTATTCTTAATGTCTTGTTTTTATTCTTTCATTTGTTTTAATGTTATGCTATTGTTCATTGCTCCAGAACCTGTTTGGGTGTGGAGTTGTATACAAGTACTGCAAATAAAGAAAAAGCAAAGAAATGTTCTGATATACAGCCTCCCGAACAAAACCACAAAACTTCAATAAAAATTAATGTGATAAAACAAAAGATGGCAATCGAAAAGGAAGATCATTTGAGAAATAAAGCGTCCTAAAAAGTCTAGGAAATATAAGAGTCTTTTCTAGAAGTTCCCATTTGTCTTATTGATTATTATGGGGTTTTATTGTGGTTTCCTTATTATGATCTTCTGTAAGGTGCTTAAAATGATAGGGAGAACTCTCTTGGGGCTATAGGGAAGAATAGAACATGCTGAATAAAGATGAATAAATCATTCATCTCCACCTCCTCATTAAATGTGTGCACTGCTTTTCTGAAAGAAATCATACAGCACACAATGCAAGCCAGTCAAATGCTGAAAAATACAACAGCAGCACCAAATCCTAATAGGACACCGAAAGAGCAGATACAAAACTTTCATAGCAGCCTATTTAAAACCTTGCACTAAAACACAAGATTGGGTCCTGGTGAGGGGTCACTCAGCAACTTTGACAGCGCCACCAAGGCGGCCCTCATCTTGCACCTCTGAATGGCAAAAGTGCTGCCAGGAATTTTGCCCAATTTGTACCTGGCACTTTCTATGCTATGGGGGATGGGTACTGTTTCCAGCTCCCTCCCTATTTCAAGAATATCAGATTTCTTGTATTCTGTTACCTTCCTCCAATTTCAAAAAGCCAGCAAGGAAATAAAACGAAACTAAACCAGCCCCAGACACGCAGTTTCAGAGAGCGAGGCTGTCTTGGCTCTGCAGGCACTAGTTTTGCTCTCGTTTGAAGCTTAGGGTCCTTTTCCTTTCTAGCTCAGCATTAATCCAGTGGTACGAGAAACCTGCACAATCTAATGCCCAAGCAGCCATCCTGAGCCCAGTGTGACTACAGCTTGTGGTGGACACCAAGCCCCCACCGTGGCCTCCATTTACTTACCCACTATGCACATGTGGCAGATGTGGAACATTATTTAAAACTAGTTTATCAGAACCGGATATGCTTTGGCTACATTAAATCAGAGGAACACATCATCCCTCATGTGTTTTCCAGTCATTGTGAAACAAGCCCTTTCTAGGAGCATTAGGAGCCTTTAGATGATCTTGGATTGATCAGTGACTTCTAAAATACAGATTTCTAGTAGCAGGTCTGTCCTAAACAGTCCACCTGGAAAACACTGACCTAGAAGAACAGCTAGTCTGTACGCCGCTGCTTCATACGTCTTTAGCTGGGCCTGTGCTAACAAGAACGGCAGCTTCCTCTTAACCAAGTGATGATTGTTATTTAAGTGCCTTTCATAACCCATATGCCCATATATGAACTTTAAAAAACCTGGCATTACTGAAAATAGAGTTCAGGCATCAACTAACAGAAGCAAAAACATGTCCGGCCTTGTTTTGATGTCTCAGGTGCAATTAATATAACTTTGTTCTCAAGGCCAACACTGACCTAGCAGAGAGCCATCCCTGCGGGGGCCTAAATCCTTTCCCTGCTTCTTACAGGAAACTATACAAGCGGTATGCCTTCCTGCGCTGTGAAGAAGAGCGGGAGCAGTTCCTCTATCACCTCCTTTCGCTCAACGCTGTGAATTACTTCTGCTTCACCAGCGTCTTCACCACCATCAGTGAGTCGGGTGGGAGCGATCCCAGTAGCCGCCTTGATGCATTGCCTGCATTCTTTCAACAGAGAGTGGCATTGCACTGAGGAACTATGGGGAGGGGGCACAGCTCAGTGCAAGACAACAGTTCCGCATGCAGAAGGCCCCGGGTTCTATTCCTGGCATCTCCAGGTAGGACTCTGAAAGGACCTTTCTGCAGGTGCTGGAGAGCCGCTGCCAGTCAGTGTTGACAGCATGGGGCTAGATGGACGGAGGTTCTGATTCCATGTGAGACTGTTGGTGCGCCTTTGTAGCAAATACCACGTTGGGCTAGAAAGTGCAACATACCCCCATTTTTATTTTATTGTTATGAAATACGTATGTGTAACCTCCTGGATCAGATCAAATTAATTTTCAGATCCCTTGCTCACGGACAGGAGCTTCTGCATCCATCCTTCCATCCGGCTGCTGCTGCCTCTTGTAGTGCTTAGCTACACACATGAGTTATAAATGGGGAGGGGGGGTCAAAGGTAATACAAGCCACCTCCACCAACATCATCCCAGCCACAGACATCTTCACCCCCATTCTGTGCTGCTAGACCAGGGGTTGGCCATCTTTTCGGCCTCTGGACACATTTGGAAGTTTGGGAAACTATCTAGGACATAACGTGGCTGCCATGGGTGAGCATGTGAGTCACAAAGGACAAGAGCTTGCCCAGAGGCATCCATGGGCAAGGTGTATTGTTGCAGGTAGAGGTTCCTAAATCCCAGGTGCCACTAAGAAGATGTGAAGATTTTTAAAAATAAAAACTGGGAGGATTTAGAGATCTTGGTGGGCACTAAGGAAGGTACTGGGGACACCTTGGTGTCCACGAGCCCCCGGTTGCCTGCCTCCAGGTTAACACATAGCAAGCCTTAGAGGAAATAGCCTGGCCCCAGAAATGGCCGCTTTAGCTGAAAAATGTTGGTGTTCCCATGTCTGTTAAGAGAAGCCCACTGTTAAAAATTTGTCCAAGTTTTTCATTTTTAACGGTGCTCCTTTTATCTTGAGATTTTTATCTACTGTTTCTCAATCTGATTTATGTAAGCCTCCCTTGAAATGCTTTTGCACTGAAGGATGAGGCATAAATTTGTAAAACAGAAACCTTTGGGGGTCATATAAAGCTGGCACTTCAAGGATTCAAAGATCCAAATGGACTGCTAAGTCTTAATTCCATGTCAGTTTCCCATCTTCATTCATACATCTTTTCAGAGCTGTTTTGCATCAATCAGAGAATGTTTATGTAATACATGAAAATTCACATTGAAATGCTTAAATATGCATTTCTATGCATTTTACCCTAAAATATGAGTATTATCCTCAAGTACATGTTTTGAGCCAGGAAGGATAACTGCTTTCTCATTAGGAAATTAGTCTGGGAAATGTAAATCAGGTTAATTTGCATAAAAATGTGGCCCAGGCCAAATCCTTGAATACCACTAGTTGACTGAGGGATTGAAAGACTTCTCTTTGTAACAGGCTTCTTTTATAGGAATGTGTGTATCTTTTGCTATGATTGTGTGGGGTTGGCCAAGCCAAGATTTGGATCAGGTTACCTTTAGTTTGCAATGTATGGCTGTGAAAGCTGGACCATAAGGAAGGCTGAGCACCTAAGGATTGAGGCTTTTGAATTGTGGTGCTGGAGGAGACTCCTGCGAGTCCCTTGGACGGCAAGGCAATCAAACCGGGCAGTCCTAGAGGAGATCAATCCTGACTGCTCTTTAAAAGGCCAGATCCTGAAGATGAAACTCAAATCCTTTGGCCACCTATGAGTGAGAAGGAAGGACTCACTGGAGAAGAGTCTAATGCTGCGAACAATTGACGGCAAACAAAGAAGGGGATGGCAGAGGATGAGGTGGCTAGATGGAGTCACTGAAGCAGTTGGTGTGAGCATAAGTGGACTCTGGGGGTTGGTGGAGGACAGGAAGGCCTGGAGGAATGTTGTCCATGGGGTCACGATGGATCGGACATGACTTCGTGACTAACAACAACCTTTAGTTAAATCCAGTATACTCTGTCGCAGGAACTGGCCTTGGGGGCTCTTGGGCCAAATCGAGCTCCCTTCGAATCACCTAGGTAGGCCTAAGGCAGAGCATTTTGTCCTTCCCACCATCTAAAAATAGCAATGACATGAAGCCAGTTTCTAAATTTGCTTACCCTTGTGTTGGTTGTGCAGTAATAGCGGCACCTAGTGGCCACTTATGTTACTGCCTAAACTATAGAATAGAATGCATCACTAAAAATCTGCACCAATTGCTTTGCTATGCTCACAGCATTTCTGTGTAGAGGAAAGCAGCATCTTTTTCTGCAGAGGTGCTGCAGAGGTTTTTCTGCGGGGGGGGGTCATTTTTATTTATTATAATCCATTGCCACTTTTTTAAGCATCCAGTTTCCCCACAAAAAGCTCATGTAATAAGGGATATCTAGAAAATATTTCAAATGGGGACTAAGGGCCAAACTCCAAGTGGCATTAGTTGGGTGAATGTGATTAGTGTGCCTTTTTGTGGTATGTAAACAGCAGCCACGGGGGGGGGGGATTAGTGCAGTGCCAAATATGTTGAGCCTGTCATTTTCAGCCATTTGTGGAGCATGAAGGTAGGAACAAATAGTTTACCCAGCAAAAGAAATTGGGGAAGAGGGGAATTTTGAAGAATTTTCTGACAGGGAATGGTAGCAGAACTTCCATTTACTGTTTAAACATAGGAGGTTGCTGAGGAAATCTTTGTAATCTTAATAGTACCTTCCTTGAATTTAGGGTAAATGGCACTTTTAGGTTTTGCGGAGGGGTAGTTTTTCTAAATTTCTAAAAACCCTGTTCTGGCTCTTAGAACACTGGCTTTCAGCCAGGCAGAGACACCTGAACACTGAAGAGGTCATGCATCATTACGTAGTCTTCTGGGCCCTTGAGGAAGCTCTGCTGGCTGAAAGCCGCCATGCTAAGAGCCCCACAGTGCTGGGTAGCATGTGGGGTATTTTTAGAGTTAAAAAATCAGCAAGAAGATTTCCTTGGCTACCTCCTATGCCTACAGGGTCACTATACCTTCCTCCTTCCTCCCCAGCCAGAAAATTCTTTGAAATTCTCTCTCCCAGACCCCATGGAAGAGGCAGAAAAAACAATGACTGGGTTCAGACAAGACAATAAACCCACACTCAAGGGTTGAGTGTGGATTGTTGTAGGTGCAAATGATGGCAAAAGGCCGGGGCCAGAAATACCAGCATATTTAGCATAAAGCTCTTACTGCCAGTAAGTAAGTTTTAGGAAGGACATTTAGAATGGAGAAGGAATCGCATGAAGCCTGGGAAGCCACCAAATAATTGGTGGCCAGGGGAGAGAGGGGAGTGAGAGACCCCTGTGTCATGGGGGAAGGGCTAGCCATCTGGGAACTCTGGAGGAATGATTTGGCCCCTAGAACTGACATTTGATAGACCCGTCTTAAACAAACTATTGAGTTCTATTTGTCTTTGCTATTGCAGTGATTCCATACAGGGCAGTGACTATTCCCATTAAAAAGCTCAGCAATGCAATCACCACATCAAACCCATGGATTTGTGTTTCGGGAGAACTGGGAGATACTGGAATAATGCAGATTCCAAAGAACCTGCTGGAAATGACATTTGAGGTGAGTTTAGAAGGCTTCCCTTTCACTGTTTCAGTTTCCAGATGTCTGTTGCTCTACCTCAGGTAGGAAGTGTTCATTTTGTGTGGCATTTCAAGTCTAGCATGGCTGTCCCGACTGCTTGGCAGAGTGAAGCTGCTGTAGCAGGTGGCAGGCCCTGAGCAAGGAGTTGAGGAGATGCCGTGTCTCATTTGGCCTTCCCCGTGACCCCTCAGGGTGGTAGAGGGCTCTCCATGCTCAGGACAGGCAAAATTCAAGTGCTGGTCCAGTCGGCTTCTGTACATAGCCTGAAAAGAACACCTTCTTGCTCTTTGCCTCCAGCAGCAAAACCCCTTGGCTGACCTTGGCAAATAACCTTATAATTTCAAGTAACAGCATGGTGCTTGCTAGTCCTTTGGTAGAACTACACTGGCCTCTGGTCTCTAGCATAGCTCAGAAGGTTTATATCATGCTGTTTCCCCCTTTAAAGGCTCGGTAAGTACAAAGCCAGTGGTGATATCCTTCCTTCTCCTCATGGCTCATAAGATGGCATGGGAGTGATTCTTTGGGGACTCATCATATTTGCATTTGGAGTTACAAAGCCAGGAAATGATGGTGGGACCATCTCAGAGCTTGGCTGCAGAGCAGGTAATGGTCTGTACTGCAGCATAACCTGTAGCTCAGGGGTGGGAAACTTGGTTGAGTTGGCTTTCAGCTCCCATCAAGCCCAACCTACATAGGCAGTGCTGAGGGATGATGGAGTAGCATATATCCCTGATAAAACAACTAGAATTAGCTGATTTGTGAGGTGCTTTCCCTTATCACACGTGACAGTGGGAAAGTCTCTCTTGGCATGTGGGATTTGACCACACCCATCATCTGACATGTATATTGTCCTGGCTCAGTTGACCAGAGGATTGTGTAGATGTTCTGAGCATAGGGTCCAAAATCAGGCAGATTGTATAAATTGAAAGGGCAGCACCTGTGAGCTTTGCCTTGTAATCAGTGCTGGGGAAAGGCCTTCAAGGGCCAGGTGGTTTATGACTTAGCTTAAATCATTGAGAACTGGGTTCAGCCTAGAACCCTCTCCCTCTGGGCAAATATATGCCAGTCTTGGGGGACCTCAGCCTTTTATCCATTTGATAAATCGCCTTCCTTTCTGTGCCTAAAAGAGAGTTCTGTGCTCATAAGAAAAGCTTTATGTTCCCTACAAATGTAAGAATAGCTCAGGTTTATCACCTAGTTTCTACAGTATCAACTTGTGACTGGATGAGGGCATCCAGCTACAGCACAGCAGAATAAATTCCATATTACTTCAAAGAAAGTGCTATTCAACAGTCATTTCATGTATTCAGTTGTCTTGGGTTCCTGTGCACCTTTGTATAATTTATCTGTGCCTGTACTGACTTGGACATAAAGCATTGCACCTGAAGTGACATGGGTTGAAACTAACGTTTTCTCTTTTCTCACTGGCTCTTTGATGCACGTAACTTGACAGCCCAGTCGTCAAGTGACGACAGTGCATATCTGAACCAGGCCACTGTTAATCTCATTCAGCTATTGGCCTTGAGCATACATTTGCAGTATAAATACGGAGACTTGGAAGTACATAGAGAGCTCAGTGGAAGCAAGGAGCTCCATGTTTGATTCCATGTTTAAACCGAGGAGTGTAAAAAAATATTGAGCTTAGCTGTGTATATATGAAAAACAAATGTTAAAATGCCTTTCACTCTTTTACAGTGTCAGAATTTGGGGAAGCTAACCACTGTTCAGATTGGTCATGACAACTCAGGACTATTAGCCAAATGGTTGGTGGATTGCGTCATGGTCAGGAATGAAATCACAGGACACACATACAAGTAAGGATGGAAGCGTCAACTAAATGTTTCGGGAAAGGGCAGTAAGGCAGAGCTTCCTTTGCACTGATTTGAACTGGGCATATGAAATATTGGAAAGTGGTCCTTTCCATTCATTTTTTAAATCAGCCTTGCAATTAGTTTACTAGTATTAACCTAAAGCAGGGTGGACAATGTATAGCCCCTAAACCCCTGAAAGAAATGGGGTGCTATGTAAACAAGCTCAATTTGACCTCTGGGAGGTTCCATAATGCTTCAAATGCCATTTTTCCGTAACTTTTTCTAAAAATAATTTACTAATTGTCCAGCAACCTGGGTGGGCCTGGGATGCAAAAACAGTCCTTGGACTCCTCAAAAGCTGCTCACACCTGATCTAAGGAAATAATGGTATTTTGTTTGGTGATACATACTCGAATGTTTATCTCACAGCTTTTAGAACTTCTGAGAGCAAAAACAGAAACCCGGAGGGGAAAAATTCTGAAGGTTTTTTTTTTTTTTTTAAATTGCCATCATTCATTTCAAAGCTTTATGAAGAAACTTATCAAAATCATTGCCGTGGCTGCATAAAACCCTTTAACCCTCTCTAAATGATCAAAGACACAAAAAAGATGATTTTTGCCCAAACTGGTACCTGCTTGCAACAGCAGTGCAGGCAAATTTCCCTTTCTTCTCTCCTCTCTTTAATTTAAGCCCATATTTTCTAGAACTCAGGCCAACATTTGTTTTTACTGTTCATTCTCAGGCTGAGAACATGTAAATTAACAGGTGGTCTCTGAATACACATAAAGAGCCTTTTAACATGTGGAGTAACTATATCCTGTTCTGCAGAGCCCCCAGCTCCACACAATGCAGATTCCGGGAAACTTTTCTCTCAAGGCAGGTGCAATTTCTGCAATAAACACTTAACACCTAATTAGAGTACCCACCTTCCCCTCCCCATGCCTTGGCCTCATGGCAAGGAAAAGGTAAACAGAAGGTGTAGGTACAATTTAAGGCAGCCCACCCCCCAAAATATTTTGGAATTAGAGCCCCCATTTGGGGATTTGAGGAACTGCTCTGGGCACTACCACAAAATGCCTAATCGGTGGATTGTTTTTGTTGCTACCTGCCATATCGTTAGATCTTAGGCTGCATCTTACTCAGCAAAACCTTTTGCTTCGTGACTATTGGACACCGCAGTATCTCTTTCACTGGGGATTAGCTATTCATTTACTTGCTGATGGTGCAGTACAAGCTAAGGCTTGTTTTAAACATACGGTTTGGCAATATCTAACAGTTGCTTCCTTTTGGGAGAAGGCTATTACATAGATAATTTTCTGTGGGAACATTCTTTAATATTCACTCTTCTAAATTATTTACCTGTTCAAGGAGATGAGCAAAGGGTCAGCTTAACTGAGTGGTCTGTGTTCTTTTGACAGCTAAAATACTCTCCTATAATGCAATGGATTGCAGCGCTTTTATTTCAGCAAGTGGCTTACTGACACCACCTTCACGTTGAACCTTATGCTTGGTCTGCTCTTGCTGAGGCCCGTGTTTAATTGCTAGAAAATTGCATGTATTAAAAAAGAGGGAAAATGTGGATGCCTGCAGGGACCATGTTGGGGACCCCCTCCTGGGCACCACTGCTGGTAACCACAGGTGCTGTACTGGGAACCCCGGATTTAGGAAGAAAGGAACAACAGAGGAAGAAGAATCCTGTAGGTCCTGGAGAAGGGCAGGCCAGAAGGCAGGAACGCTGAACAGGAGTGAGACACAATGCAGCATTTCCATTCTTACTGCTTTAGCCTTACAGTTTTATTCTTTCCCACTTAAGACCAGGATTGCTACTTCCTTAACTCTCCAAATGCTTTTTATCTTTGGGAACAAATCTGTGCCTCTAGGCATTGTCTGAGGGGCCAAGGATATGGAGGATTCCCCCTCCGAGGTTGGAGGTAGTGCTACAAACTTGGATCTGACTCCCCCTCTTCCCCCACTGGGCAAGGAACTGTGCCAGCTGCTTCCTCTGGTCCAAACACTGGGGCAAGGCAGGGGAGAGGCAGCAGCCAAAGAAGCCAGGATGCAGGCGATCCTGCAAGCGATTCCAGCCTCCTTCCCACCTCCTCTGAAGTGTCCTTGCTCGATGGAAGGGGAGGCCAAGATTGCCTCTGCCCTCTTGCCTTCAGCATGGCAGGGCACTGGATCAATGAAAGCTTCAGAGTGGAAGCTCCCATCTCTCATGAGAATGCAACTCTTAGGTTTATTTTATTTTATTTTATTTTTTAAGCTACTAAAAATGATACAAATATAAAAAACATCATTAAGAATAAAAAGAGAAAAAACACAAAATACTGGTGTACTTGTTTGAGATCTCTATTTTTTCTTAGGGAGGAAAAATAAATTTTTAGCCAAAGGAACACTATTCCATAGATCCCAGAGTGAATTGTGAGATATATGCTATAAAGTACCAGACCAGGAGCCTCATGCCTCCCTTACAAGGTAGTTCTGAGCACCTGAGATTTATTTTTCAGGTTTAAACCTTCAAAAAAGAAAATCAAAAAAGCCCACTTGAATAGTCAAGAAAAGCTCTAGGAACTATGTAATTTAGAAATACATATTTCAGAAGTCATTATGAATTATCATTCAGTGATCTAAAAGCTACCTCCACGGTAAGATTTATGCTTTCAAACTAGGCTTTTTTTTTTACAAAAATAAAGAACATTTGACTTTAGAAGAATTCGCCAAATGTCAAACAAGTTGATTTAAGAATTCCATAGCCAGGTTTATGCATTCATTCTCTGTGTGTGTGTGTGTGCACACACACACATATCTCAGGAACAGTGGCTGTGGCTTTCTTGAATGTTTGGATGGCACACCCTTTAAGAACCCTAAACCTAATTGTGCTCCCTTTTTAAATTATTGTGCGACATCTCAGGTTTCCATGTGGGAGATGGCTGGGGAAGGGTGTTGATGATGGAAGCCTGGAGAGGATCCTCATAGGAGAGTTGCTTTTGTCATCATCGGACGAAGACCTCGGGAAGCAATGTCGCACACCACCTCAACAGAAATCTCCAACTATGGCCCGAAGACTGAGCATCACCTCTCTCACAGGGAAAAATACAAGTAAGGTGGTACTTCCTGCAGTGATATCAAGTAGGCAGCATTGCTAATAGGAGACAAATCACATTTTCTAACTATGTCAATGAGTTACAACAGACTTTTCAAGATGGATGTTGGATCTGGTGCACTAAGTGTAATTTTCCCCATGTCTAATAAATACACACTTTCAAAAACTTTTAAAAAGCTAACTACACCACTCAGATTTTTCTTTTCCCAGGCAGTGGGCTATTACTATTATCTAAGATGATGTATTTATCCTGGGGTGAGAGAAGCTGTTCCCCTGGGGCGAAGGCCTTTTGGCTGATCCTGGTGACTAGTGTCACAAAGTACCTCAGCTAAGGCAAGTCTCTGGGAATGGGAGGTAACCTAGCCCTGGGAAGACCAACACTTTTTTGGCAGAGGAGCTCGACTAAGAGGTTTGTCTAGCCTTGAGGAATTAAATCACCTCTACAGTCCACCTGATGTTGGGCTTCAGCACTGCCCAGTACTGATAAGGGCGCAAGGTAAGGGATGCTGCTGGATCTTCTGGAATAGAAAACTGCAGGTGAGATGGTAGTCAGCATAACGAACCTGCTGGAGGACAAGGGAAAACCACCATTATATAATTTCTGAGTAATACTCATCCTGGCTAGATGCACCTCTAAAATAGTCAGCCATGATGACATCTAGCCTCCAGTAGGAAAGGAACGAGAAGAAACAGACTGTGAGAAGATCAGTAACAAGAGAATAAGCCTTAAGAAGTACACGCCCATTATGCACTGAGATGCAACGGTCCAAATTAATGTGGCTCTCATTTGGTAAAATTTCTTAATGGAAGGTATGCATAGATTTAGAACTATGGCCTAAAGGTGGGCATCTTAGCACCTTCTCTGGGTCATGTGAGGAAGGCAGGTATCACGATCATTTAGAAGAAAGGTGGAGGTACCCCCAGTTACCTCCCTGCCTTGTCCGGGACAGTTTAACTTGTTCTATGCAGGTGTGCCCTTAATCCAAACTTTATAGAACCATCATGTCTCAATCAGAGGGTGAACTCAGCTCTCCAGCATTTTCTTCTTTTTGCAGAACTCAGTGCAGGACAGATTCAGGAAGGCATTGGGGAAGCTGTGAACAATATTGTGAAGCACTTCCATAAACCCGAGAAAGAGGTACCTTCTCAACCATTCAAGTACACGATCTTAAATGGAGGTGTAAACAAACTCTTCGTTTGAATTTGAAATGTATGGGTGATTTTGTAGAAGAGGTGCAGGGTCATGGTATCTCTCTCATAAGAAAACATACCAGTTCATTATTAAAGCAAGCTTTGGAGTACATTACATTATTTCTTTCATTTCTGTCCTCCCCCTCGCCCCCAAACACAAGCAGAGTAACTCCACATGGCTTGTACTACAGAAATCACAGTGCATGTAAGAGACTTCTGAATCTATTCAAAGCTTAAAGAATAGACCAAGTTGTTTACAGAAGAGGCAAAACAGCATTTTAGAACCCCAACAATTGGCATGAAGTCCAAGATTCAGATACTTGTTTCCATATGAAGGGATGCTTCAGAAGAGGCTTAGTTCTGTACTGAGACAAACAGACAAGGACTTTCCATAATTCATTGCTGTTGCAATTTATAATGAACTTCATTTTCTGTATTTCATTACTCTTGCTGCATGGGTTATACTCCCGTGCATGCATTCTGAAAGGGCTGAAGTGGCTCTCCTAAGGTGTATTAGTGACTGGCAGGGAGCTCTTTCAGCTAAAATAGGCTGGTATTATTGGCTTCTCCATTCCCAGAATTCAGCTTCTCCGTGGAGCTTTGCCTTCAGGCTGCAAGTGATTTTAACACCTCTGCCTGAAGTTCTTGAAAATCATGTTGTGCATGCTGCAGCAGACAAAAGTGGCTGCCACACCACAAATGTTGCACGTACCTGGAAACAAGAATGAATCTGGAACAATGCCTGTTGGGCCTTCCCTGCCATGTTCCTCACACTGAAGTCAGTAATTCTTGCTGTTGGATTTCCACACCACCTCTGGAAAACTGTTTAATAGGCAACACAGGTGGGATTAGAGTCCAAAGCGGAGTCTCATGGATGGTTATGAGTTTGGATCAGTATGCCTTGTGCCACTACTATTCTTGTTTGATTCCCTAGAGAGGAAGCCTCACTGTTCTCTTGTGTGGAGAAAATGGCTTGGTTGCCGCACTGGAGCAGGTCTTCCACCATGGCTTCAAGTCTGCACGTATCTTCCATAAGAACGTCTTCATCTGGGACTTCATAGGTAATCAGCATGCCTGGGTTGGCTGTGACCAAGACCCCGGTGATGCATCACACCTGGCCTTCATGGAAGACTGCTAAAGCTTCCTGGTGCCCCTTCCCTGTAAACCAGAGATACAAAATGGCAGGGCCAAATCGGGCCCTCTGACAAGTCCTAAAGGGCAGAGTCTTCTTCTCGTGCTGCACCCCCTTCCCCAAACACTGATCATTTGGTGGTGTTGTATTCCAAATAGTGAAAATGCTTCTCCGAAGGCCTAAAGCTTTAAGCTGAAGAATGCTGGTATTTTGGCACTCCCCTTTTTTGCCCCACCCAGCCCTGGAATGCAGCCCCAAGAGTCTTTCAGCAACTGAATGTTGCCCTTGGACTGAAAGGAATTCAGTAGTCCTGCTATAAATGGGAGTTACTTGCTAAGAATAACTGGCTCAGTCCTACCTTTGGGCAATGTGAGATGGTCCATGTTAGACAGCAAATTGGACTGCTGCTGAAAGGCAGCTAATAGCCAATTCTCGTGTTTGTGTTTTGCCATTGGCATAGGGCTGGAGCTGGGGAAGAGGAAGCAGTGTTTTGATTTTTCAAATCAGAACCAGTAACTGCTGACATAAGGCCTATCCCACAAGCAGCAAAAATGTCTTGGACCACTTTTGGTTTAATTGTTAAGTGCTGTTGATGGCGGGGCTATTAATCCTGGATGGTCTCTTGTCATTTTAAATGAAGGAGACTAACAAGGTAGGCAGATTTGGCTTCTTCCCACACCAGAGTTGCGTCTCTCTGAAATTTCCAAGGCCATTGCTCATATAATAGGGATTTTACTTAAAAGTTCCATACCTTCCCTTTGTTAGGACAGGGCTGTTTTTTCAAGTGATTCTTGCAAACTAGTGTAAAGCAAGGGAATGCACAGAGTGCTTTCCGTAGGAGATGCCTCCAAGGCAGTGATTACCTTTGAATCCATGGCTACTGTGTTTTAATGTGTTAGGAATGCACTTTAAGGTCATAAATTAACTATGGCTCTAGGACTGATAAGTCCAAGCTGCTGCTTTGAAATTGCTCAGTACTTAATTGCAGAACTGTTAACTTTAACCTCTCCCTGCTTAATAAGTATTTGCAAGGGGCTAATTGCCACAAATGTGCAGTTTTCAATTGTTTGTTTACTTGCCATTATGCCTAACACTATTAGTCTATATTTTCAGGCATAATAGTAAAAGATATTTCAAAATGTGCAAGAATGCATCATTCCAAATGCATCAGAGAGGAAAAAAACCCAGTAACTTGGCATAGGCATGTTAAAAATATAAAGCAATATATTTCTAGAAATATAAAGTGTCGTTCAATGCTATTCTGTTTGTAAACATAAAATACTAGGAAAAGATATACTTGGACATTTCTTTTTTTACCTAATGAAGTCTTTTAAAAACCCCTAACCTTTTCAAGTTTTGAAACTAAAGTTTTAAAACACCCTAATTTTAAAAGGCTTTTGGGGGGGGAATGGATAGTTGCAGACCAAAAATGCAGTCCTATGTACTGTCTAATCAGAAATACGTAAACCCTACTGAGTTCAGTAAAATTGATGATTCAGTGACACAAAGATGGGTGCAAAGAGTTCACATGATTTCTCCTAAAATTACTGGGACAGTTACATGACTATATAGTTGAATCAGTATTTCTCCACCACCTCAGCCCTAAATGAAATAAAAGGGCCACAGGATTACGTGCATTCTATGCATAGTGAGATGTTGCGTTCTTCCTTCCTCTGCTCTTAGAAAAGGCTGTTGCCTACTTTGAGACGACGGACCAGATTGGGGACAGGGAAGAGGATGTCCTTCTTCAAAAATCCTCCTGCAAGACATTCTGCCACTATGTAAATGCCATCAATACTGCTCCACGGAACATTGGGAAGGATGGCAAATTCCAAATTCTCGTTTGTCTCGGAACTCGGTATGTATATTTTGGCTCACAAAGAAGCTCTTCTAAGGCCCTACAATGCTGCAAGTATTATTTCATTCATTCATTCATTCATTTAAAACTTTTCTAGACCATCCCATTACCAAAGACTCGGGATGGCTTAGCAATACAAAATGTAAAATAAAACAGTGTCCTAAAAATTCAGCTAACTATAAAACCCCAATTAAAGCAATCAGGTCTTAAAACATTGGGAAAATAAAAAGGTTTTACCCTGGTACTGAAAAGAATAAAGTGACGGTGCCAGGCAAATCTCTCTGGGGAGTGAATTCCACAATTGGGGTGCCACTGCAGAGAAGGCCCTTCTCTGGGTAGTCACCCTTCTAATCTCCTTCGAGGAGGGCACCTGGAGAAGGGCATCTGCCCCAGATCTTAAGGGGTGGGCAGGAACATATGGAAGGAGACACTCCTGGCCCTAAGTTGTTTAGGACTTTATAGGTCATTACCAGCACCTTACCTTCCTCACAGCACTCTGAAGTCACCTATAGTATTTCCAGCCCTCAGATGGGAAACTGACGCTAGGCAGGGCTTGCCTTGAGCTACTAGGGCATAACACGAAGTAGGATTTTGATGCCAGTATTTTGCAGTGTTGCTGTTGTATCTCTCAGATATCCCTGAATCTAGTTTTTAAAACTCTTCTTCCCATTTTCTTTCTTTTTTTAAAAAATATTTTTTAAATTGTTTAGATTTTTTTTTTATTCTGGCTGTATATGCAGTCATTTTAGATGGCTGTCAGAAATCCCTGAAGCATTTAATACAAACAATCCTACCTTTTTGTTGCGTTTGAGTTAGCTTAACGAAAGTATTTCACTAATGCAGAGTTTGGAATACCTAGAACCCGTGTAAGTATCTTTGCTTCTTTTTTCTTTGATAAAACCATAGTTTAGCTAAACCTGGTCATTTTGCAGAAAGCTAGAAAAGTACAGAGGTGTCACTATTTTGTGATTTTTTTCCCTAATAAAGATATTCCTCAACTATGGATTTTGGAGGGGTTTTCTTTTTCCTTATGGACCAAGAAGGCTGCTGTTGCTTTTAATATGCCTTAACTAAGATTTGCTTGACCCAGCTCCTATAAAGGGAAGAATGTGGTATCAAACCCCACTTTTTGGTTTTCAGTTTTGGGATCTAGATCCCTGGGGCAGGTCCCTACAAGCCTCCCCAGTAAGGAGAGAGATGGACTGGAATTCGAGGTCTATTCTTTTGACTGAAAGAGCAGACTTCCAAAGCAAGCTTAGTTAAATAAAGATCCGCTTGATCTAAAATGGGAAAGAGGAGGCACATGTGCACTTAAACAAAATACAGCCGCCGTCCTATGGAGAGGCGTCTGAGCTCTTGATCTCAAGGGGCTGGCGCTCATCCAGGGCAATGCAGGAGGAGGAGTCCGTCTTTGCCTCCTGCTTTTCCCACTCTGCACTTTCACTAGATGGCTAGGCTGTGGCTGCTGGACAGTCTCCTCCATCGAGAGCACAGGAGGCTGGAGCAGCTTCGGGGTGCCTCATATCCTAGTTACCCCCTCCTTAAGCCCTGTCTGAGCTAATTTTCCCAGTCCCAGGCAGTAGCCAGTAAGGTTCTTTCCATGTCAGCTGCAAGGAGGCAAGGGAAATCTGGGGGGACAGACAGACACTTCCATTCCCAGCTTCAGCTGCTGCCTCATACCCGGGAGCTGGGAGTCTGAACTGTCCCATGGCCATTCCGACAATGTCTAGGGGCCATAGGCTTATCCCCTAAGCTAGTCTTACTATTTTTCTGTAAGCATCAGGTTGCAGTATCTGTGGGCAAAGATGCAATGCTAACCTAGGACGTGGAGCAGGCATGGCGCATGCTTCAGGTGCTAGGATCAGCAACAAATGCTCGACACACTCCTTTTTATGGTTTGGGGTTATTGTTATCCTTTTCCCCATGTGCCAGAAATGGCAGCAACAGGATGGAAGCTACTTGCTCCATTTAACACCAGTTGATTCTTTTACTGAATTCTGCTTACTACTGTCCTTGTAATACCTGCTAAACTTTGGCATATCTGTAACTTGTAAACTACCCAGAGACCCTTTTTTGGCTAAGGAGTGGTATGTATGTATGTATGTATTTATTTGAGACTTCTATGCCACCCCATTCGCCGAAGACTCGGGGCAGCTCACAACCATAAATAAACTTCAAAATAGAATAATATAAATTAACAATGTAAATTAAGTTGCCCTGGCCAAAGAATAAAATGAATAAATAATATTAACAATTAAAATAACATTTGAATAAAAAAGTCTTCTCCTGGCACCGAAAAACAAATAACAACGGTATAGAAATTAATTAAATCTTTTTGGTTAGAGAGAGCAACTAGTTTTCACCGTTTCCTGTTCTCCACACCCCACTTCTCACTCATTTCCTCTGTGGACATTCGAAGCCATTTTATGTTACTCCAATGTCAAATTTACTTGCTAACTTTAGTTTTTCCCATATGGAATGAGGTACTCCTACTTTGCTTGACTTACGGCATGTAGCTTCCCAAAGAGATTCACCTGGCACTTACCTTGTGATTTTCCAGCACCAGGTGAAACCTTCCTATTTTCCCAGGCATTTCAGATTTTCCACTCCTGTTTTAAATCTGTAACTGTATTTTAAAATCATTGCATTGGTGCTAGGTTTCGCTTTGTTTTCACTTTGTTACTTCTTATACTGTAATTTTAAATCTAATAGTGTATTTTATGGTCTTACTGGTTTAGAATCCAACAGAGAACTTCAGCTATTGGGCAAGGTAGAGAAAAATAATTAAATAGTAATGGCTTAATGTTAGATTCCCCTTGCTTCAAAGCAGACCCTTACAGCTGTTATGGTAGCTAATTCTTAGTTTTCGGATCTCTTACATTGTGATTAAAGCATGCAGTTGTTTAGAAAACTTTGAAGCTAGTCTGATTGGCAGCCAGTCTGTAACTGATATTAGCCAGGGTTTATTCTTTCCCTTTCATCTGTGCCTTAAGTGTGCCATGACTGACTGGCCTTCGGATGCGCCTTAAATTGCTTGACAATATGATTTCTTTCACAGGGATCACTTGCTCCCGCAGTGGATTCCACTGTTGGCAGAGTGCCCACCCATCACTCGGATGTACGAAGAGAACGCTCTTCTCCGTGACCGCATGACGGTGAACACCCTCATCAGGGTCCTTCAGACGTTGCAGGACTTCAATATCATCTTGGAAGGGTCACTCATTAAAGGGGTGGATGTGTAGTCCATGGCACTGCAGGCATCTCTCCCCCTCTGCCTCCTCTCCCAGGCAAGCGAAACGTGTTGAATTTGGGAGAGGGTGGATCTGTTGAAACGCACACGCTGCCGGTAGCACCCCTGCTGTATGTGAAACTCAGCTCCTTGGTCAGTGAGGGCGGCAGAGCCCCCTCACCTCTGTTAGCCTCCTTCCTTGTCTGCCCTAAAGCTGCAAACAAGCTAAGCTGCAGTATTGTAGTTTTCAAATCAGAGGTTTAGTATCAAATAGAGTATTTTCATGTGTTCAACGTATGTAAATAGGCTATCTTCCAGCAGAAATATTTACCACTAAGGGTTTTTCTTAGAATCAGTGTTCTTGGTTGGGAGAAAAAATGTAGCTCAAAAGAACTGTATAGGGTCGGGAAGTGAGGGAGGGTTCCATTACTTGAGTATATGAAGGGGAAAGTCACTCCCTGTATAAAAACTGTACAAATGCAGCAGGGAGAGAGGCATTTTCCACATAGTGCAAAGGAACCCACGAAGACTCTAGGTAGCCACTGCTGTACTCTTCTTGTGAATGTAAAATGTTTGCTCTATTCCTGTACGTTGTCGGTCTCTTGCTGTCCTGTTAGATCCAAACCCTTTCTGTGTGCTTTGAATAAGCTGTGAGTCGTAGGGTTCCGGACCTTCTCTGTGACTTCAGTCGGGACAAGTGGTGCAAAGAAATGTCTTCACACTGGACCCGAAGGATCCCTGAGCTTCAGACAGGAGCCTCCCAGGGGCTGCTGAGGAATTTTGCTATACTTCATAACAGAAGAGAGAAAAAACAAGCATCTGTGCTATAGTTTTGAACTATTCACTAAGCTTTTGATGCTGACCTTCCCTTTGCCTCCCCCTGGGCTTTTGTGTTCTGTGCAAGCACTACTGGTTTCAACAGGCTTTCTTGGAAGACAAAGGGGAAGCCCTGGGAAGAAACAGTCTTTTATCTTGAGCAGAATTCTGGCAAAATTGTTTCAGACAATTGAAAATGCCAAAAAATGCATAGAGTTACATCCTCTTCCTGCATTCAGAGGAATATGGGCTGGTCTGTACATAACCTCATCCTCATGGGGGTGCTCCTCCTGTTGGACAAGTCTTGCCAGGCTTTGCTCACACCCCATGACTTTGCTTGCAGAAAACTTTCCTTTGGAGCAGAAAAGATTCCCCTGCCAGGCTGCACCAAACCAGATAGGATTGTGGGGAGCCACCATGGCTAAATAGCCTTCCGTAGGGATGATGAGAGCTTTAATTCAGCACAGCCAGAGGGCCTCAGGTTGGGGAGGACTCCAATGAGGTACAGATCAGCTCTTAGGACTGCTGTTTCTGTTACCCTAATCTGGGAGCTCCTTTAGCCTTGCTCCTTTCCATCCTGCTTAAGTAATATAGGAAACCCATATTCACATGGGGTGGACTGTGATCAGCCTCAGCCCACCTGGAGGCCTTGGCAATGCTGGCCTGGAAAGACGGTAAGTTGCAGCTCCTCTTGTGTGACTTCAGTATCCCTACAGTATCCGAGAGACACGTGATGAGCATCCTCTTCCAGCAGCATGTGTACCACTGATGTAAGATGCCTCCCTTGGTTTTGCATAGATACAGCCTTTTAAAGGGCATGAAGCAACAGGTACCCAGCTCTAGACGCTTCTGCCAGATGGAAAAATATAGTCTGTTTAGTAGTTAGCAACAGTTGTAGGCAAACCGTTTAGACCAATTGAAGGAAAAATGAATACAAGATAGTGGGACAATCCAGGATGCATTATTCCATTTTTATCCGCTGTTGGTATAAGACTTTCCTAATCATTTGAAGAGGTGGCTCAGAAAGTAGATTTTATTCTTCTGATCTCTGGGGCTTAATGAGCTCTGCGTCTCTCTGTTCCACTCATCATGCGTGACAAGTCTGCTGGGAGGGGAGACTCTTTGAGAGAAGCAGTTACTTAAGGCACACAGCTGCTTTCATCAGTGCATGTTGTCCTCCCCTTCCCTACTGCTTGTTTCCAAGAGAGGATGGCTTAGAGTTGGAGCATGTGGAAAAGACATGCTGGGAAAAGGGAGCCTTCTTTGTACAGAAGCGTCAACATTTTTCACCAGCTGATTATTTTCCTGTGAGGTTTGTTGATAAGGAACTCTCTTAGGATGCAAACGGAGGAATCCCAGCTGTGGGTTTCCCATGAATACTCAGGCACTTAAAAGGGAGGAGTGATGGGAAGAGTTTACTTCACTCTGTGATCTGTTTCCCAGCCAGGCTGGGAAATCCATAAGGGAAGGAACTGGAGAGGAAATATGGTGGTTGGGAAGAAGGATTAAATGCGCACTCTTTGTACTTCAGCAGCAACTATAGTTTGGGGCATGCCTTGCCCTACCCAAAAGCCACCTGTCAGCTACAGCTTTCCCTGCTTCTGATATAATCTGTGACCTCCAAAGGTCCTTCACCAGCTGTTTTTAGCCAGAAAAGAACATCAGTCTTGAGAATGCTACCCACAAACAATTTGAAGTTCCTGGGCCAACACATGGCTTACACACATCAAGGCATGTTGCCAGTATCCGCCTGCTTGAAAAACTGGGTGGTACTGTCTGCCACACAACATATGGTGAAATAGCACATGGATTTCACTGCATCAGCTTCACCCCCAAGGACTCTTAACAGCATGATTTTGAAGCATGCATTTGGAAGCCGTCAGTGACATTCTGGGTACATCTTCATTGGGAAACTCCACAGATATTCCCCTCCCCAAACAAAACCAGCTTCCTAGTTACACTTTATCGTGTGGTTGTGATCAGAAATCAGGCTGCTCGGATATCAAGAATCAGCCAGATAAGTTCTGCTCAGGATTGATGGAAAGCAAATGAAATTATTTTAAATGCGTAATGAAATCTATGGATGAGCATGCAACCCCAGTTAAAGCTGGGAAAAAGGACACACACATCTTTAATCCCTTTAGGTAGCACATATGGTTGTTGTATTAAAAAGTACTTTCCAAAGTTGATGTATTTACAGTCACTAGAAATACAGTGTCCTTTCTAGTTTTCTAACAATATGTAGGCAACCAATAATAGTTTGGCCTTTTGTGTTTCCCACTCACAAGATAGATTGTTTTTCTAGTTTACCTATATTCTGACAGTGGTTAATACAGAAAAAGAAAGTGATACCTCAAAAATGGAAAATAGGTCAGGGCTGAATACTTCTAGTGTTTGAAGGGATTGTCAAATAACAGAAATGTGAAGCCCTGGGGGAAAAATATGAAAAAAGCCAGAGTGTTAATCACAGATATTCCAGGGATTTGGGGGAAATGGATTTCCCCCAATTTTGCCCCAGTCTTTATATTTCTGCCAAATACCAACATACACTTTAGTTTTTCTTTGTCACACAATTGGCCCCAATGCAAGAATCTGCAATCTTGTTTTTAGTAAATGGCATTAAATTGAATGCAGGATGCTGCAAGGATGGCACTTTCATTCTAGAAGAATAAGGCAAATTTGATCTCTCTTGATTCCTGAACTGACTTCTTTCTATCTTGCCTTGCAACTGCTGGTCTTGTGCGTAGCAAAGAGTTTTTGAGTATCGCATTTTTTGCTGCCTTAAGGCTTTTTCATAACATGGGGAAAAATAACTATCGACACAGATGAGAGCAACCCCTTAAAGCTTGCATTAGCCTTCACAAAAGGTGCCTAGCCTCCACCACTAGAATGTGGAGTTGGACATCCTACCAGGCAGTGAAAGTTGTGTAAGCATTAATTCATTTCTCACCCTTGTGTTTCATACCACATCCATAGTGAACAACTGATGGTGTTAAAGATGTGCTAGGGGGCGTTAGGACTTGAAACAAATCCCTTAGCGCACTCTGCAGCTCCAGGCAATCCTGAGCGATACTGATTTTCAAGCTGACCTAGTTCAAACTGGCTTCAGAGCAGGACATGGAGTTAAGACTGCTTTGGTTATTCTGGTGGATGATCTACAACTCAACATTGGCAATGGAAGTATGTCCCTGCTGGATATCTCAGTGGCCTTCAATACTATAGACATAGTATTCTTCTGGATCATCTGAGGTAGCTGGGAATTGGAGGCACTGCTTTGCAGTGGTTCTGTTCCTACCTCTTGGGTCGGTTCCAGTTAGTGATGCTCAGAGACTGTTGTTCCTCCAAGGAGGAGATGACTTGTGGAGTACTGCAGGGCTCCATTCTGTCTCCAGTGCTGTTAAACAGCTACATGAAGCTGCTGGGAAAGATCATCTGGAGGATCAGTGCTGGGTGTTATCAACATGCTGATGACACACAGATCTGTTTCCCTGTACCATCATCTGCTGCTGCTTCTAGTGTCTCCCCTCTGAATGACTGACTACCTGATGAGCTGGATAAGGAAAAACAAATTGAAGTTGTTTCCAGACAAAGTTGAAGGTGCTTGCTCTTAAGGGTCTGAATCCAGCAGTAGAGATGTGTCAACCAGTTCTAGATGGGGTCACACTACCCCTGAAAGACCATGTTTGCAATCTGGGGATACTGCTTGATGTAATCAAGGCCCTTCAGATGTAATCACAGACAGAAGCTGTGGTCAAGAGTGTCTGTTAGAAGCTTTGGCTGATAAGCCAACTACATCTCTTCCTGGAAAGGGATGACCAGAAAACCAGTGTAGGCACTAGTGACTTCTAGGTTCAGTTTCTGAATTGCACTCTACATTGGGCTACCCTTGTGCTTACACTGGAAAATGTGACTAGTAGCCAATTTGGCTGCCAGGCTGGTCTCTGGGACATCATGAAAAGACCACATATCACCTATTTTAAAGTCTCTCCACTGGCTGCTGATACATTTCTGGATAGTGCCCAAGATGTTGGTAATTGCCTTTAAGGGACTTAATGACTTGGGTCCAAAGTACCTTCAGGGGTGCTTTTGTCCATATATTTCACTTCGCCAACTAAGGTCTACCAGGGGTAATCTGAAATTTGCTTCTGCAAGATTAAGGTCAACTACCCAGAGGACGTTCACAGTGATTGCCCTAAACTGTGGAATGATCTACCAGGAGAGATGCATCTGATATCCCAGACAGGTATCTTCAAGAGGGGGTTAAAGACATATCTTTTCCAGCAGGCCTTCCCAGATTAATTCTCAGATCAGTTTTATTTAAAATGTTTGTTTTTAGTCAAATTTTAATTATGGTTCATTTTAATTTCTTGGAAACTGCCCAGAGCCTATGGGAATTGGGCGGTATATAAAAATCAAATAGTGTGTAAGGAATGGTCTAATATGTCTATTTCTTTCTAGGCAATAAAATTGTATAATTGTGTGGTATTATAATGACCTTAAGGTATTTTTGGAGCATGAGATGGATCTCCAGTAGACTAGTCAATCTGACACCTTCAGGAGTGCAGTTCTTTGTGGTGTTTTATTTTATCCCTGTTGTGTGCAACTTTTTTTTTAAAGAGACAACTCTGATCACTTGATATTATGGGGTTTGTACTTTCAAATTTACAGACCATACTAGCTTCTTTGAGAAGTGCGACTCCAGTCACAGTTCCCCAAAATTTAATGCACACTTTTGATATCAGTGTTAATGATATTTCATTGTTAGGAAAAATTGAGTTTTTAAAATGACCAAAGCTTTCTGGTAACCTACCCAATAAGTTCTGTATTCAAGAACTGTGATTCAAAACATTGTATGTTCTTAATAGCATTGCTATTAGTAACAGTTTTTTAAAGAAAAAAAAAGAGGGCACAAAATAATCATAGAATGAATTTTTGTGTAAACATTTTAGAAATCTCTGAAGCTAGCCAGAGTGAGGTGGTTGCAGTATTGGGCGAACTGCAGTACTTCATCTTCTGAATGGACACTCTTTCAGCCCATTTACTCAGAAGAAAAATCTGTTGTATTAAGTGGGACTGGCCTCTGAGTAAAGATGTTTGGGCTGGGCTGTTAATTGTTTTGTTTGGAATATGTTTGAGAGATGCTGCAGATTCATCTTAACTATGATGTCATTCCCCAACCCCAACAAGTGAAGGTGTATATCTTATAAGGAAATTTTGTTTGTTGACATGTACAAATATTATCTGCTATAGTTTATTAAAAAAACCCTCCCTTTCCTGCCCATAACTATCTTCAAAATGTGTTGCTATGTTATCTTTTACATTGTTAATAAATTAATCAGGACTGGATAATATTCAGGAAGTGAATATCAGTAAAAGTATTGTTATTTCAAGCACTTTAGCATACATATCACAAACTGATGAGGGTTGTTTTCTCCCCAGGGTTTGGTTTACGATTAAATGCAGCTTTTCATGCAATGGTCTTTACAAATAAAACTGTTAAAACAACAAAATGCTCCATGTAATGTTTCATGAAGGTCCATAAATAGGTGTGAAAGAGGAATTTAATGGGCTGACCTAAATTCTGAAGTATAAAACTAGTGCATGGGTGGAAGCAGCATCTCCATTTCTTCCTCTGACACAGTCCTAGTCAGTGGATTACATATGGCAGTCCTAGATTATCAGTTTTCAAAGCTACCAAATGGATGACCAGCATTTATCTCTGAGAAGATGTCCACACAGGATCTGGCAAGCTTTCTTGGGCTGACACTGGGTTATATACTGCTTCACAGAACTGCAAATAAGACAAAAGGGAGGGGGCAGCAAGTGATCACATCAACCCCAAGGCCACCTTTCCCAACCTAGTTCCAGACCTCAGCTTCCATCAGCCTCACCTAGGATGGCCTGGGTCAGGAATGCTGGGCATGAGTGGTCCAAAGCATATTGAGGAGACCAGCTTGGGGAAGGCTGCCATCACAGATCTGCAGTGACTCTTAACTGGAAGTATGACGACTCCCTAAGGGGGAGGAGGGAATTCAATGAGGCTATGTACTTGGTGGACAGTAGTGGATTAACGGCTGAAACCATTGAAGTAGTACAGTAGATGTGCTAGGAGCACCAGAAACGTGAATGGATAATAATCTGCCATTTCATACAAAGAAGGCATCTGCAGGCACTCCTGGGGCCCTTGCCAGGTTGCACCAGAGTGAAGTTACACAGGTTTCCATATACCTGTCTGTAACATTAGCAGTTCTTTTTGGAAGGTGCACATAGACCCAGAAACAATGATGTGTGAAAAGGTCCTAAACTAAAGAAGAGATGTATGTCAGAAGGCACACCTATGTTTCTGGTTGTACCATATGAAAATAGCGAACCGAGTCTTCAGTTCATTGGTCTGACAGCAAAACAATTCTATCCAAGACGCTTTGATTTCCAGACTTAGGGGGAACCATGAGCTTTCCCCTAAGGTAGGACGGCTTAGGCAGGGTCATGAGAAGATCAGCAATAGAGGATTACTGTCCCTGAAATGGCTTATGATCTTCCTCTTACAACCTGAAGATGCAGTGCACTTTCTAATGCAGAGTGTGCTCTTAGTGGATTGGCATGATATGGCAGCCTATTTTTACTAAGTGTGCACCCCCTGGAAAGACCTATTCCAACCAGAGTTCTTCCAGATCACAACTTCCTTTAGCCTTACCCAGCACAGCCAATGACCCCACATTATGGATGGTGTAGTATAAAGCGCCTGAAGAAGCATCAGGTTGGAGGAGGCGACTTTAAAAAGTGCCTTGGAATCCTCTCTTACATTATAAGTGTTTGGACACTGAGCAGGCAACAAACTGATGTGCAAGATTTCTCTGAAAGCTTTAAACAGTTTATTTTAACTTCACTAGCTCTGATAACAGTAAAGTGTATATTAAATCAATGAACATTCACCTAAACTGACCTTCCTGTTTTGAGCTACACTTCCCACTGGCCATACTGACTGGGATTAAGAATCCATAACATTTGGAAGGACTCAGGTTGTGGAAGGCTGATGTAAGGCTGGGTGCATGTTAGATTCTCAGCTACTATAGATACCTAGCATCATTCCATTCATCTTTTTCCTTCTTATGAGCACATAAGAAACCCAATTGCATTCGCTAATAGTGTTATCTGCAAATGTGGTACAGTGCTAAATTATTACTATTAATGCCATTTTTATATTGCCCCATAGCCAAAACTCTAGGCAATTTACAACAATGCATAAAACAAAACCACATTAAAATGAATGTTGCAGCAACAAGAAGAAATACTATTCTAAAATTCAGCCTAATCATGTGGAAGTTACATCAGGAAGCATTCCACTCTATTACACTAAAAATCATTGGCTTTTTGAGTATCGTTCATTCAGTGCAATGTTACTAGGAAAAAGTCTGAAAAAGGCCATTAGGCCCTTGAAAGAGAGGGCAGAGGAAATCAATGAAGCAAAACTTTCATGCAGTTTCACAGGCATACACCTTTGTGAACTATAGTGCATTTCATCAGGTACATACAGTGTTATCCTGAGCAAAGAGGCGCAGATGCACATGTATGTAGGGGAAAAAAACAGTTAAGGAGGAATGATTTCCTGACCTATTACAGTTGTTAACTTATCATAGCAGGGTTTACTGTGTGGTCACCAATTACTGCTGTTGTAAATGGGTTCCATGCTTATTTTGCATGCATGTTGCTTTAATTGAATTGTCACAGGCAACTAGTCCTTTTTACATTTCAGGGCCATTTGACTCTCCCATCTTCCCATTAATCTAGCCGTGGGTGGGTGCGTGCGTGCGGGGGGGGGCAGGGGAGAGGGAGGCAGGCAAGCAGACTATATATATATATATATATATATATATATATGTATGTATGTATGTATGTATGTATGTATGTATGTATATTTATATTCCATCTTTCTTTCTCTTGCAAGTAACCCAAGGCAGTTTAGAAAGTCTCATACACTTCATGTTACCCTCACAACAACCCAGGGAGAGGCTGGCCCACCATCACCCTAGTCAGGTGTGGACTAGAACCCAGAGCTTCCAAATACCCAGTCCCACAGTCTGACCACCACACCCCACTATCAAGACCTACAGAGGGTTTAGTCAATGAAAACTTATACCATAATAACTTGGTTCATCTTTATGGAATTAAGAGACCCTTTGAAAGCTCTTTGTTTACCCAAGACTGTACCAAAGGATATAGTAAGCTGTACACTCATAGAGTCTTGGCCCAGGGATCTCCCTTTTTGGACTTTGGTGTGCACTTGGGAGTTTTAAGAAACTGCTGTGGGCAGTTGCTTTGTCAACAGCTAGCCATCAGTCAAAGGACCAGATCTCTTCCTTCCAAGAGGCATCTACTCATGTTTCCCACACCCTCACATTACGGATGCGATATCACATCCAGGTTCTCAGAACTGCTCTTCTGGTTCATAAACAAGTGAAGCCCTTCTTAAGTGAAGCCCTAATGAGAAACACATGAGAAAATAACGAAGCAGCCTGTGCTTACCAATATGAGCTCTATATTGCTTTGAGGGAATAAATATGTTTGACAGCCAGACAGTGCAATTAGTTCTTGGTAGTGATTTGATGAGGGTGATTTTCAAGCGAGCACTTCATGCTGTCCCTACAAGATGCAAAGAGTCACACGTGTTGGGTAAGGGTATTGGAGCTGGGAGGAATTTGGCCCAGTCTGAACTGACCAACTCCACTTAAAGCAGGAGGACGTTTATCCCCTCATAGGAAGAAAAAAGCTGAAGGGAATGAATGCTGACAGCGAACAAAAGCTGAGGGTACAGAGGTGCCCATCCTCCTGGGATACATTCCCATCAGCCCTGCCTGCCCTCAGTGCACACAGATCCTGCAACCTTAGAGGCTTGTGTGCATCCTATGCTCTGAAAGAGGCCTGGTGGGAATCTCTACCACGCCTTGCATCCTGATTTTTATCTAAGCAGCCTTTTCCCAGCATCTAGATGAAGTGTCAGGGCAGGGAAGGAAAGAAGTCTGGTAAGAATCAGCTCAAGTCCCCAGGCCCATCCTCCTCCCTTGCTCCTAACATGCCCCTTTTACCCACTTGAAGCCCAAATACAAGTGGATGGGGGAGCCAATATGCTTCTACTCTGAGCTGGCTGCAGGACTCCAAGAACTCCTATGTCCCTCTCAGACAGCAGCAGGAGGCCACAGGATTCTATCCTTAGTTTGTAAGATGAAGCCAGCGCAGTCATAATGCTCAAATGTATAATGGGCTCTAACTTGAATCCAGTGAACTTCCAATTTTAAATTGAATTAATGTACAGTTTCTATGCCGGCTCTGCATGGTTGAGGGGCAATTCTTAATAAACTTCTAGTAATATAAAGTAGGCCAAGGGTGTCAAAGAAGTGGCTGCATCCATGGGCCTAGGCACCCTTTTACAACCCCTGGAACCAGTGGCTGGGTTCATACAACATAACAAGCACCATGTTTTTTTACCGTTCTTGGTCTGAATCCAGTCATGGTATTCACCATGGCAAGACTGAGTTTTGGAAAACACAGTAAGAAGCAAAGTTTTCCTTTATGGTTTCTCTGTACCACCATGGCTTGTTATGTTATCTAAATCTAGGATCATAGTTTCTATGGTCTTGGTATGCAACTACCACAGAGTAACTGGAAAGAGCAGCAACTTCAGGAACTGCTCTGGCCATCCAGCCACTAACATAAAGCTCTTACTGCAGTAGAACTTTTGTATTACAGAATGCTGGAATGTTTTTACAATTAACCCCTCTTTAAAATAACAAGCCACCCAACTGTCTCATATTACTAAGTTTCGATTAGTTATTACTGCAGAATGATGTAATGACAGAGAGCTTTCACCCAAACTTGAAGCACTGGATTTGTGCAATGAGATTGGCTTGCTCACTGCTGTCCAAGTGGCTCCTGCGCTTGCCTTCTGCCAGCAAGAGCCTTCCAGGCCATGTGCACAAGCTGCTTTCTAACTGTGCTAAGGCTCCCGTGTCTAGAAGAACCCTAAGTCAGCAATCTACACAGAGACCCCAAGGGTTGTCACACCTAACAACAACCCATGCAATGTCACGGCCACAAGCTATCTTTGCATCTGGTTTAGGTATGTCCCAGAATTGGTTATTACTTGAGCCGTTTCCCTGTCAACAACCCAGGGTCTCAACTTTGCATGTCATGCTGAACACCATAGGCATTCCAGGGTTGTCTGGTAATCGGGAGCGGGTGGGAAGCAGTGCACTAACCCCAACCAATCCCAAGTTCATTAAATAAAACATTAAGGTTAGCCTTAAGGGCAAGTCTAAGAACATTTGGCAGCGGCAAAGCATAAGGAGATGAGGCCTGAGAAAGCAACCACTAGAAATTAACAGGAATGCCATGAGGCAGCTCTGGAAATAGATTGAGATATAATCAAAAAGTACATAAAATAAATCACTTTCTAATTTACTTACTGTGTTTTTAACCCTCTTTTCATACCATTATGCTCTCCCAAAGCAGCGCACATCCTTCTAGGAGATGCTAAAAACTGCTGGCTGTATCTCCTACTATGGTCAGCTATCAGTCAGATTTTCACACCTATCTAGCGGAGGAAGATCAGCCACGGCGAGCAACGTGCTGGGCGATGGCAACATCGCCTCCCGTCGGAGTTCTTCTGCTCCTCCCCTTCCGAAGCAAGCCCCAAAGCGTCGCATGCTAGCCACAGGGACACCAGTGCATCCATTTCCTTTAAGGAAGCTGAAGGCAATGCCAGATGAACCCTCCAGCAAGGGTAGCAGGATCTGTCGCAAGAAGTACCGCCTGATTCGGTGAATGCCTCATACGCTGCGCCTGACTAAGTCCAAGCATTGCAGGAGCACCTCGGACCGCTGGGATCTCCGCCTACCAGTCTCGTATTTGTGTGTGCCTGTGAAGTCACCTCTGACGTCACAATGGTCCGGACCTCCCCTATGCTTTTCTCTCGCAGGCTTTTCGCTCGGCCCTTTTCTCCCTTAAAAGGACAATGGTACGCGCATGCAAAAGAGCTCGATTGAGGAGAATTTAAGCCGTGGGAACGGCGCATGCGTACACGGACTGGAAGTTAAGCCAATGATCCCAGACCTTGCATCTATCCAGACATAGGAGTTAGACAACGAGGGTTGCGTAGAGGAGAGGAGGAGAAGGGCGGGGGAAGGAAGGAAGGAAGAGCGGTGCAACACCACATCATACCACGCTATTGATTTGTCGAAGGTAAGTGATTTGAATGTTTGTTGTTCCAACTTAGCAACTTTTTATTGAAAAATAGCAACCCTGCAACTGGAGCACGAGTTCTGACAAGTTTTGTGTGGTGGCTTTTGGATACGGATTAATTTTAAAAGCACATTATCCCTTCGAGAAGAGCTCCTTTTTATACCTGTTTGTGGGTGGAATTGTTGGAAGCGGACGTTATTTTCGGTAATGCAGTAGGTTTTGCGGGGTGGGAAGGTCGCTGTAGAAAATAAAAGGGGAATTGCTGCAACGAAAGTGCTGGCTGCATTGTTACGGGTCGAGCATGTGGCGAGTGACAAGGATTTCTTTGCCGAGAAAAGCAGTTGCAGAATGACTTCATTTTCATTCAGAACCTGGACGCTCATTCGGCCGGACCATGAAGCAAATCTGGAGATTACTGATTTGGTTGTCCCATACGGAAACCCCATGGGACCCGAGTACGCTCTAATATTTCGACCGTGGTTGAGGGGATTGGGCCCTGTTCATTCAACGAGTGGGAAGTCCATAGTTTGAAAAGTTGTCTTCCCCCCCTTTTTAAACAGGTCGCTAGACAGAGCCTCTGAGGTCGGAGCGAGGGGAGGGGGGGAAGCAAGATGAAAACTCCAGTCTTGGTTATCTTTCATTCCAGAAGAGTCTCCAGGAAGTTGGTGGGTTTATTCTGGAGTCAATAAAGGTGCAATTGCAGCAGCTACAGTTGGCCGATTCTATGGGCTGTTGGTGGTGGGCCGGCGGAGGCGGCCAGCTTGGTGTTGTCCGTTACAACTATGGACGCGGGATTGGCGACAATGGAAAGCCAAGGTGGGGGAAGGGGGGAGAAGGTCTGCAACAAATCCCTCGAGGCCGGCTAAGCCCAGGCCGGGGGCCTCGGGGACGAGCGTGCCGCGAACGTTCCGTTTTCGAGCGTGCCCGGGCTTCGCTTTTCTCTCCGCAAATCATACACCTGTAGATTGGATCGGCGAGGGGAAAGTTGTAGCTCTGGGCGTGAATGCGGGTAACAGCCATGGCGGTGTAGCGCTCCGTTTCTTTGGACGGGGGTGAGGCAGTAGGATGGGACTGCGGTGCACCAGGTTCCCCTTGAGCGTGGTTGTTTGTCTTTTAGAGGTGACTTCGATTTTAGCCCATTCGGTGTGACCTGGTAATGAGAAAAATCTGTGTGTTTGCGCGCAGTGTGCTGTGACACGTGCTCTCTACCACACTGGTCCTGTAGCACTTAATCTCTTTCTTGAGAGATGATTTGCAAAGAATTTAGCTGCTCACCAATCTCCTGTTGTTCGTTAGAATTGTCTGGGTGGGTGATGGCGGCGTGCGGGACGAAAAAAATATTGCCACCTTCAAAGCAACAAAACATGCACACGGAGTGAGAAGCGAACTCCTGCGGGCATTCTTTCCGTGTGCAACTTTGATCTCAACTTCTTTTTAACAGCCGCCTCGCTGCATATTCTCCTTCCCTCCGCCCAGTTCGGCTCTAGTTTTCCTCTGAAGCGGGCTGGAATCTTCCTCCTCCTTCCACGCGTCCAATAAATTTGATTTTTAAACACGTTGAACTGAATTTTCACTCAGCGTTAGGAAACAGCCTGATATTTATCCTAGTTTGCTGCACGTAGGCAGAGGCTGACGCGAAAACAAAGGGCTTATATAGAGCATGTGGTTGTTGAGCTTTGGAACTGCGCCTGGCGCGAGGGGGGAGAGACGGTTCTTTATCTCCTCTGGACGCGCACGCGATTCTTGTTGCCTCTGAAACCGAAGGAGAGGAATGCCGGGGGTGGGCTGGTGCCTGGGGGGGCCGGCGCCTCAGCGCTATACTCTGGGAGTTGACTCGCGGCTGCTGGTTAAGGACTTTATTTCTCCCTTTGGAGGTTAAAACTTCAGAAGCGCGCCCCCGGAGGAAGGTACCACGAGAGTGCATGAAAGATCCGGAGGCGTGCTTAGGTGTTTCAAAGGCAGGAAGCGCCTTCGATGAACCGAGCAGAGCGGATGGTTGGGACGACCCACCCCTCCTCTGCTGGACGGCGCCCGGGAGGGGGGATGGCAGTTCTGCCGCACTTTCGCCCCGTTGGAAACGCGAGTCTCTCTTCCTCCGCGTGCGCGTCTTTACGGGAGGTCTCGTCGACCTGGCTCTGAAGTCGGAACTGTTGCCATGTTTGAATTACGTCAGGGTAAAGCCATGAGGAGGAACCAGTTCTGAATGTCGTAGGAAGAGATCGCGCGCTCAACCGCACCAGCACAATATGGCACGCAGTCTGGAGCTTGGGTGCATGGGGGGGAGTGTTTTTCAGGAAGTGTCTCTGACCGTGATGATGGGATGAAATGGACCCCCCTTTCCTTCCCTTTTGTTCTGCGAGAAAACGCCGAGGAGTAAACTTTCACTGCAGCTGAGGGCTAGTGCCTTGAGAGGCGCCTTCCTTTGCCTCCATTTACTTACGTTGTTTACGGACTCGGTGCAACTCCTGCAACGCTTGCATGGAACTGCAATCTCATGTTTCCCAGGCTAGTTTAAAATGAGCCGAAAAAAGTGAGTCGCTTCCACGGTGCGTCGTGTGTCACTTCTTTTGTGTGTAGGCAGATCGCACAAAAAGGGGTGGGCCGCGTGTACAGAGATGGGCAAACGGAAAAATTTGTGCCAGTACCTATGACCCTGATCTCCAGAGGGATTACCACCAGTGGCGCACAGGAGCTTAGGAGGTTTCTGGGGGAAGAGGAATAATATCCCCCCCCCCCCCGCCAAGTATTGCTCTGCCCTGAGTTAAATGTTGAGCAAGTTGAAAGCAAAACGCTGCATTTAAAAACTGCCTTTGCCAAGGGAGATTTTTGACTTGCCTTTGTGTGAATGCGAATGTGTGTGATTTACAATGCTAATACATGAAGGATGTGCTGACTCTGGTAGTTCAGGATTCCTTATGCTGCTGCCACACCATCACAGGCATTTTAATCATCAGGTCATGCCTGGAAAAATAATTATGCTAACATTAGTGCCTCCCTCTTTTTCACTTGCAAGTCTGGGCATTCACACTGAGACCTCATGGCAATGGCTGAGCTTGGGGGTGGGAGGGAGCATCTTTCCTGTAGCACAACTTAGTGCAATGGTTAATGTAGATATTTTTCCCTCAAGACTGTGTACAGTGCTGTTGTACAAACGGCATTCCTTGTGCATGGGGGACTTTTGGTTATGTGCTGCCAGTCCCTTGAAAGACCATAGAGCTCAATGTCTACCTGATCAGTAGGGTCTGTTTTGAAAAGTAGGTCGTCTTTTGCGGAGGTGGATGTGGGTGGGTGGTCTTTGTTCAGGGCCGGGCGTGCTTGTGGGCGCTGGTGTGGTCTGCCTCTTGTTTGCAAATATGCTTTTTAAATTATTATTACTTTGTTGCTCGGAAATTCTTTTGCAGTTTAGTCACTTAGGATATGCAATTTCCCTCCTATGCACTTGGAGACATGTTAAAAGGCAAAGAAGACATTAGAAGCGCTTTTTATTTTCTACCTCTGTAATGCTAATTCACTGGTTGACTGGATTGTAGAGAGAATTAAAGAAAAAAGTGGTTTCTGTTCATTGCTAATTGCCTTCCACCAAGGTGTATTGCACACATGCACATCTGTAGTGCAACAGAAGTGCAAAGGACCTTTTGAGTGTGGTGTGAAAAATACCTTTATTCTTTGGGTATTAGCAACCCATAAATGAAGTATCTGAGGCTGCAATCATATGCATCCTCGCTTGAGAACAAACCTCATTAAACTCTTATCCCTGATGAAGCAAGTACAGAATTGAGTTTAATGTATTTTTGCTCTTATCTCAGAACATACAACTGTATTTGGTCAGTTTCGTCCTTTCCTTTGCTTGTGGCCAAGGGTGACAGTGGTTGGAAAGAGCCCCTGGACCTCTTGAAGTTGCCCTAGATTATGAACTCCCAAAGTCTGAGACCCGGGTTGCATGGTGTCTTTGTTGCTCACTGCTGCTGCATAATATCTTCCAAGTATGTTCTACATCTATTTAACTTCTGTAAGACTCTCCATATCCATTGGGTTTTGTGGTGGTAGTTAATAATTTCCATAGCACCTTTAAGGCGCAATGCCTCTTTTAATACATACAGTGTTAATCCTCACACTAACGACCTTGTGAAGCAATAGGCAGTGATTTGAGACTGAAAGATACTCATGACCACCCAGGGAGTTTCCATGGCAGGATATAGGTTATAATCAAGCTTGATAATCTCGTGAGTTTTGCAACATAAAATAAACCAGTCAGGGTTTTATGGCAGCGGTTCTTGTTCTGGAATGACACAATTTGTATTAGGATGATCTTTAAAGCAAAGCTAGGCAGACTTTCTTGTTCTCTGGCTAATTATGTTTGTGTTTATGGAGCCCCAAATGATCCAGCCATGTTTAAAATTTACCTAAGAGGAGGAATTCTTAACACCTTGGAGATTCCTGACCAAGAGCACATGCCTAGGAGCATAAGCGTTTTGCTGGGTCAAGATCCACCAAGGGTTGGTGTACAAACTTTGCATTAAGGAAATCCCTGGTTCAGTCTCTTAAGACTTGTAGGACTGGTGGAGACTCCTGTTGGTTTGGCAGCAACTTCCAGGGGTTTTCACTGTAGGCAGTACTGAGCTAGACAAACCGATGATCTGACTTGTTTTAAGGAACTTCTAGCAGCTTCCTATATTTTAATATAGGTCTACTTCTTACATTTTGTTGTACACCCCACTTTTACTAGTATTACAGCTGTTATAACCTGGATAATTTATGTGTGTCAAGGTAGGTCCAGCTGCAATCATGAGCTAGCTATCAAAACTCTGACTCCCCCTTTTAATGGAGTTTGACAGGACAGTGGGTGCTTATTGACAGAGATTTTTATTTATTTATTAAAAGCTTTTATAGACCATTCCATTACTAATGTCTCGGGATAGTTTACAACAAGTTTACACTTTGTGCCTCTGCCCAAAATAAAATTTTAAAAAATCCAGCATCATTGCGCTATCAAAACATTT